CAGGCAGGGAGATGCTTGGTTATGTGCAAGGGTGAACTTCATACCTGGTGTAACTCCCTGTGAAACCAAAGGTGCTGGTGTGTGGGTCTGGGGCAGAAGTGCCTGTGGCCCTGCCCTCCCTCTGCCCAGGCCACAGGGGTGCTTGAGGGTGTTTGTGCGTGGTTTACTCCAGCAAGAATAAACAGGTGCATGTGTGAGTCAGATCTCCAACCCCTACCTCAGACAATGACAGCAGCAGGAGTCAACAGATTGGGTTTTGGTGACACCCAGCTTGTGCCATGAGGAACCCAACCCCAGGTAATAGTCAGCAGGTACAGTCAGTGGACGTGGTCATTACAAGTATTTACTTTTCAAACACTTTGGACACAAATTTTAATAAATGGCCTTGCACAGATGCAGGCGTGATGTAGCATCTTGTGTTAAAGCTGTCAACATAGATGCAGATGAAAGGAAACAGGGAAATGTTCAACCATCTGGGCTTTCCTTCAGATCTGAAAGTAACCCCAAAAGGTTGCTTTTGCTGGCTGGCAAAGCAGCACTGTTATTTATTTACCAGATGCCCATCCCCTCAAGCCTGGATCAGATGCCTTCTTTAGGGCAGAAAATAAGTTTGTGGTATGGGCACATGGCTGTTTGACTCAGGCCACTGGCATGTCCTGTGGTATTTAGCAGTAGGGATGAAACCTCCGTGTTTGTGGCTTGTTCCTGATGTGGCTGTTGACCCCAGGCAGGGCTAGGGTGCTGCTGCCTTGTCTTAGAAGACGTGCTCCAGGCTACACTGACCTTATTGGATTATTCTGCCAGTCAGTGGCCTTTGGGTTAGATCCTGGAGCCAGCAGACACTTGGGTGTGGTTTTATTCAGAAATCCAGACTTTGAGCTAATCCCTGGTTAGAGAAACAAGATTTTTCAGGTGTGTTTCTGAGATGGACTCTTGAATTATTAACAGGAATTAATTTTGCAACTCAATTGTTTCCGATTTTGCTTTAGATTGTCCCTCTGTGAATGTTTCACCAATAAAATATTTGCTCTTCCTGCTCCATGTTGATTAAGAGGGTCTAAGCTGCCTCTACCCTGCCACCAGAGGTAGGGGCAAAAAAAGGTGAAGGTGTGTACTCAAAAGGAGAGAGAGTTAGAAAAAGTGACTGGAGCTCTGTGGCCTGTGTTGCTGACCAAGTAACACAAGTAGAACCAAGGCATAGAAATCTTCATAATATATAATTTTTATTATAATCAATTGGCTTTTCCACAGCTCATAACTATGCTCATTAACAAAATGCCCAGAGATTTATGAAGTCTGTTAAAAAAAAAAATTAAAGATTAACTATTCTGAAACTTCCTTGTGTTTTTACATACCCAACAGTTAAAATATAGTAAAATGATTTTAATCCTTCCTCATCCTGACACGGAATAATTGTTTGTTCTTACTGTTTGGATTACAGAGGTCTTTGAAGATCCAGTCAAAGGATTAAAGTCTTACTGTGTGAGGCACTGTACACACATTATAAATCTGTGGCCCCAAAGAAGCTGCAGGATGGGCTATTTTTCAGTTTTTGTCTCCCAGCGATGCAGTGATGTCTTTTCCCTCTCTTTCTCTGACAGGCCAGTTATTTAGTGCAAAACCCATCTTTGTGATTTCCTCCAGAGATGCTGCAATGCTCTGTGCTGCCCATAGTTAATAGGACCATCCCCAGTGCTTTGGCAGGAGGATATAGAGAGAGTGGAGAAGAGGAAGGTAATTCTTTGTTCTAGGAATCCGATCCATCACAGCCCGAGGTATTTCCTGCTCAATACCATTCTCTGTCACTCACAGGGGCACATGTTGGGTCAAACACATTATGGTTTGATTCTTCAGCTAATGGCTGCTGAGGCCTGGTCTCAGTAGGCTGCAACAAGCACAGTAATTGAAATTCAGACTGCAGGAGACAAAAGGCTTAGTCTTCATTTTAGCACATCACCCACTTGCTTATACAGAGTTTTCTCCTGGATGCAGTAAACAAGGGGCTTGATTCAGTATTGCCCCAAAGTCTTATCCCGTATTAGTAAAAAAAATATGACAGTACATAGAGATCCCAGCACTGGTTGTTTTTAGGTTCAAAGTGTCTCATCTTTTTCCTCTGGAGTACAAACTTTTGATGGTTCACTGTGGCAGAGTCAAGGTCCCTGATTAGTTCCTGGGAGTTGCTAGATTCCTGTTGCCTTTTCCATTAGTGAGTCAGGAGAGCTGCTCTGCTCTGCTCTCACTCCCTTTCTGCACCTCCCTGTGGCTCACCAGCACCAGAGTAGCTGGAGGAAATCAGATGTCTGGGAGAGGGACAAGACTTTTCTCACCAGGAGGGCAGAGGGTGGGATGTGACTGCTTCTCATTCAGCTCTTGCTCCATCTTAAACCCTCTCTTAAATGAGTGTTGATATAGTGAGATTAGTGATTCGGTCTGGAATGTTCTAATAAGCTCGCCAAACTTAACAAGTTCTGTTTCAGAAAAAGTTAAAATTAAAAAGGCACCAGGAATTGAGGCACTATCGTGTTGTTTTCTAGTTTATCTTTACTCTCCTGGGTGCTTCCCAGCATGGTGGTGTGCCAGTTCTTCTCACCTCACTGGGAAGCAATCACTTCCAAGTCTGTCTCACCTTAGGGCTGGTCTTGCTGAGCCTTGTCCTCTCCTATTGTCCCTCTTCCCTTTCAGGCATTATTTGCATTTTACACTTCTTTACTGACTGGAATAATTTTCACTGAAGTCATCCTCTGTAAATGACCTAAGACTCTGCCCTTCTTTTTACAGTCTTGTATATTTTGGCCCTGTTTCTATCCTGTGACTGTTACCCATAAACTCCGTGTTTGACCATCGAATTAAAGAGTTTAGTTCTTCTCTTCCTCCTCCCCCAAGAAGAAGGAAGCATTTAGAAATGCAGTGCAGTTTGGCTGGACAAGTTAAAGGCAGTGTCTGATGTGCTTCCTTAATACATTGTAGAATATAGATAATCAGTGAAGAACCATTCACTAGGGACCATATGCTGTTCTCTGCACTGGCATCTCTCTCTTCATGCTTGTCTCTGAGCCCCAGCTAAGTGCCTTATCTAGCTATTTAAGGTATTTAATTAATTCCTCAGATCAAGTACCCATCCTCATTTTTCCATGTACTGATAGAGCAGAGCAAAGAGAGCAGCCCTGTTATCAAAGCACACCGTGCAGCCCTGAGAGGAGCCTTTCATCCTGACAGAAGAGCTCAGGGCTGGAGCTGCTCTGAGGCAGGAAAGGGGAGCTGCTGCCAGCACAGTGTGGGGACAGAGGTCACAGTGCAGGGTCAGCCTGGGAAAGGCTGTGGCAGCCAGAGGAACAGGAGGGCAGAACACACAAACCCTTTCCTTTCGGGGGAGCTGCAGTGATGTGCTGGTCTGTTAGTCCATGCGGGTCACAGCTGGCCCCCCACAGCTTTTGGGAAGCAGAATTTGGGGAGGGGAGCTTTTTCCATCAGGGATTTGTATGTTTGAACCCAAGCTGAGTCCTGATGCTGTGATGCCCAGGATGACTGACCCCAGGAGGGCACCACTCAGCTCTGTGCCTCAGATTTTCCACTTGTACTCTACAACTTCACCACTTGATCTTGGCTTCTCTTTCAGCTCGGATGGGATTCAGTCTTTCACGTGTCCTAGAGCACCCACCAGAGCCACACTGCAAAGGAACAAATACTCTCTCCCCAAGTCTGTACAGTTATTCAAAGTTCATCCTGGTAAACCCCTAAAACTCTTTCTATACAAGATCTTCTTGTTGCTTTTTTTTTTATCTTCCTCTCTTGACAGCAGGCCTCAGCAGCAAAACTGTCTCAATTACTGGAGGAGACACTTCTGTGTGGAGCTTTTCTCCATGGATTTGTCACCCTTCCTATGCCTTTCAAAACCGAGGTCATATTCTCCTTTGGTTTTGTGCTGAATGAATATAGTCTCCAGACTAAGCTCAATAGCCTTCTTTATGGCCAGTGCTTTGCTTTTTACTTGTGTCAGTCAGATGAGCGAGCTCAGATGCATCTGGCTACAAAGTCATCAGGATGAAAAAACTGAAGCTGGCGATGTTTTAGGTTCTTTGAGGTTTTTTACTCTCCAACCCTGTGATGTTGGTAAGTGCTGATGCTGTTACAAAAGCTATGATATGACTCTTCTCTTGGCCAAAATAATTTTTAGAGACCAGATGGGTTTGGTCCCACTCTGGGAGTCTTGGTTCATAGCTACTCTAATGAGTCGGTACAAAGCGTGGACTGCTTTTTTCAGAGGAAAAGCACCTGGTGTAGGTACCCTGTGTATTCCAGGGAAGCACAGCATGATCCTGGGAGCCTTGCACCATTCTGCCTGGGGCTGCAAGGAGAGCTGCCTGTTGTCCTGCCCAGAAGGCAGAAAAGATCTGTACCACTCTTACCTAACATGGTAACTGAGGTGAACACAATTTTTTTTCTGCCATTACCATCAGCATCAGGTCTGTAGGTATCTCACCATCCTCTTTCAAGACAGCTTTTCATTTTAAACTGCCTAGGTACCTTGCAGGTGTGCATGCTCGGGTACTACTGCTTTAGGAGAGCTCACCTCTGTTGAATCAAGGGAAGATGAAGCTGGAATCATCAAAAACATATGATTTCTGGTTTTTCTGATATTTTAAATTTGCATGAATTTGGTGATGTAGTTGTTAGTCTGAGAGGTTAATTAAATTTCTCCTCCAATGCCATTATTTGTGTTTTGTGGAACCAGTATGTTCAAACAATGGCCAGCACTGTCAGCATCCAGCACAGTTACTGTGCTGTGGGGGAGAAGCTCCACCTGCACTTCTTAGAGGACAAGGCCAGGGTGTAGTATCTGTGACCTCCAGCCAACTCCTGGCCTTAATTCCCCTGTGACAATATCAGGGTTTGCCATAATTTAGCCTCAGATCCCTCTGCACTGATTTGGATATTAACCCCATTTTCAGGTTTCGCGTACGTGCTGAAGGATGTGGAATCCTAGAGGAACTGGGATCAAGTTGCAGCCCTTAATTCCTCCAGGTGTTGGATGTCTTGTGGGAGCGAGGAGGAGAGGTGGAATACCAGCAGTGCACCCTTGTTGGCAGCTTACAAATGGCAAAATGCTAAGGAAGAGGAAGCTGTGCTGAGCAATGCACGTCAGTAGTCAGCAGAGAGTGAGGCGAGGGCTGGGAACCTCAAATGTTTTTAGTAAGCTGTCAGAACGATCTGCAGGCCAAGGATTCTCCTTGAGAGGATGGCGGGAATGTTTCTGGAAAACAAACAAATGTGAGACTGTCACAATCTGTTCACACCAAGACAAAAGCAAAACAAAAAAGCGTGAAATAAATTTTCTCGTAACCACAGGGCTTGAACGAGGCTGGAGGCAGAAATGCCAAATAAGGGCTAATATGCTGATGGAAACAAGAGCTTCATTTTGATGGACCTTCACAAAGAGGGACCCAAAAGCTGCTTATGAAGAGGGACACCAAGGAGAGAGGAATAGAGATGCTCCTTTGCTTACCTTTCCAAGCAGCTGCTAGCAAGGTTGAATAAAACAAAGCAGCGGTGCTATGACCACATGGGAGGCCGTGTCACTTGCAAGGACAATGTCATGATGGCTCTGCTTAAAAAAATGTTTTGGTGTTACTCCTGGTGATAGGATGGGCTTATTCTCAAGGAGAGTTTCACTGCTGGCTACTGAGGGGCCAAACTTTTGTAGAGGTTTTGTGGAAATTCGGTATTGAAAGTGCTATCATATTCTGTTCCTCATTCAAATGAAAAACAAAGTCCAAAATTTCCCGGGAAGTCACATTCTTAAAAATAATGTCAGACTGAGGGCAGAGAGTTATTGCAATAACATTTGAAATCTTTTTTACATTGCGATGTTAAACCTTCTGGATAATGCAGAGAGGAGCCTGAAGTGATGGGGTTTTCATAAGCAAAAGTTGCAACTATTGCAAAATCAGAATGGAGCCCTATGGCATTATTGAAATGTTTGTGTCTTCCTCGTGGTGAAAATTCATTGTTAGTGTCTTTCATGTTTGACAGAATTGCATTTTTCTGAAGGAAAAATATTCCACTGGGAAATTCTAGTGCTAATATGGGTGTCAGTAGCAGGCTGCCTATTTTTTTTATTTTTATTTTTATTCTCAAAGAATTCCCACTGTGGTTCTGAAGTCGGTGGATATTTCTTCTAAAAATAGGGCTCTGGAGAGAGATATTTTTCAAACCAAATCCCCCCTCCCCCAAGTGGCAGTAGGATCTAGCTCTGTGGATTCATTATGTACTGTTAAGCAGCTGCCACATTTCACTCCGGCAACACTTGTGCTTCATTTATGAGCAAAATGATGCATATGTGAATATGGCAGGAGTGCTGCAGCTCGTGGTGAATTTGCACTGAGGAGCAGCTCGTGGGTGAGGATTGGGTAAAAACAGATGCTGAAGTAGGACTTCGTTGCTTGCCTGATAGTTTTTACAGTCATAAAAGTTTATGTTTTAGAAGGGCAGGTCCTGCCAGAAATAGGAGTGCATAAACACAGAGCAAAGGAGCTTGTTTATGACTAATATTAATCATAGCTTCCCTGCATCTTGTGTAAGAGAAGCAAATAAACGGTAACACTTGACCCATATACAAAATTATGAATGAGGAAATTGAATGGATTGATGGTATTCTTACATTAGTCCCATAATGCAAAAACAGTGGGATGCCCAATCACTGCAGCAAATGTGACAATGATTGAAGGATAATTCCTCTTTTACACAAAACCTATTTGTGTTCACTACCCTGGAAAATTTCCTAGCCTGTTTCTTTTATTTACCATGGTGTAAATTAGGAGCCTTTCTGCTAAAAAGAGTGCGATCTTCACAGGGGTAAGAGCAGCAGAAGAAAGAAATTAAGGCATATGCCTGAAGTGTTGCAAAAAGTACCAGTCTTAATACTTCAGTGCAGATGCTCTGTGGGCGGAGTGAGGAGAGTTCCCTTTCCTAAGGCCAAGGTTTCCACTTGTACTTGGGCAAAGTGATGCAGCTCCTCCCCAGACAGCCTTGGAAGATGATGCAAAGCTCTCTGCCTCAGACTCCTGCTGGCCACTGTGCTGGTTTTAACTGGCTGAGAGTTCATTTCCTCTACAGTGGCTGGCATGGGGCTGTGCTTTGGATTTGTGCTGAAACCAGCTCTGATAAAAGAGAGCTTTTTTTTTGTTATTGTTTAGCAGTGCTTGCACAGCCCCAAGGCCTTTCCTGCTCCCCACCCCACCCAGCAGTGAGCGGGCTGGGGGTGCACAAGGAGCTGGGAGGGGACAGAGCCAGGACAGCTGACCCCACTGCCCAAAGGGACATTCCACACCACTGGGCATCATGTCCAGCACATAAAGCTGGGGGAAGAAGGAGGAAGGGGGGGATGTTTGGAGTTACTGATTTCCCCAGTAACTGCTATGTGTGATGGAGCCTCTCTTCCCAGGAGATGGCTGAACGGCTGCCTGCCCATGGGGAACAGGGAACTAATTCCTTGTTTTGCCTTCCTTGTGCACATGGCTTTTGCTCTACTTTTGAGGTGTCTTGTCCTCAACCCATGAGTTTTTTTCTTTTACTCTTCCTTTTTTCTTCCTGATCTGGTGGTGGTGGAGTGAGTGAGCTGACAGCTGCAGTTAGACCATGACATCCATCCAGAACAACAGTCTACCCTCAGGAAAGCCAGGCAAAGAGGAGATGTATGTGTTTAGTTTAAAATCTATTTTAAAAGAGTGCCTGTATTGTGCAATTTTTTTGGTGTATTTTTATCCCAGGGTAGACAGGAATAAAGATTCACTAAATTCCAAGAATCTGAGATGCCAAAAATCTGTGGTGCCAGCTGAGACCTCACAAGCCATGTTGGCTTCACAAAAACCTGGGTTCTACAGCACTTGTTGGTTGGGATTTGCCCTCTGGTGCCAGTACCCAGTGAAAGAGGAAACTGTTGGTCCTAAGTAAAGGGGCCCTTCTTTATTTGGGCTTTACCAGTCCTGAGGTGGTGACTCACAGTGCAGAAGCAGTTTTGATTTTTCAGTGATCCTTCAGCATCTTTTGTTCATTAGTAGATTAAACTGCACATCTACCTGTAGATGGATTCACGTCCCTGCTTTGCAAAAGCAAACTTTAAATCAGGGGAATTTTTGGCACTTGCCACAATCTCACGGGGTACCACTGGAAGAAAATACCCCTGCTCTCCCAGTGCACAGCTCTGTGCTTTTTACTCAAATCCTTCTGGATTTATTTTATTCTTTTTTCCTTGCAGGTTTCCACAGACACTTAGGATAGCAAATAATCCCAAGTCTCATTACTGCACATAAATCCCTTAGCCTTCTGGGTTTCCTTCTCTGGAGCCACTGTGAAAATGGACACATCAATACAGCCTTCTGCAGAAAAGCTGACAATCTCAAAACGGGCTCATGCTGCAATAACCGAAAATCTCCTGCCAGGTTGGTGATGGGGATTTCTAATCAACTTTGCAATGAATATTTCTTAAATCATGTTAATCCACCATTTAAGCAGAGATATCAGTTCCAGACAATGAATCACCATACCTGGAGGGGGATATACCTGCCGTTTCCCCAGAGAGGAGGCGATTAACAGCACCGTGCTGTCAGAGGAGCCAGCAGCTATGGCATTTATCACCTCACAGCTCCTTTGCTGCAGTGAAGGAGATCTTTGCTCCCTGCTTCTGGTGCAATCAGCTTTTATTTATGTAGTGCTTATGGAAAACAGCTCTTAAAGGAAAACTGCACCTGGTTTGCCCTCTGAGGCAGATTTTGCTCTAATTTACATGGATGCATTTCCTATTAGAGTTTGTTAAATGCTGGGATCTCATGGGGAAATGAAAGCCTTTGAACACGAGCAGGCAGAGTGCAGTACCCAGCTTTCAGACCCACAGAACTATAGTAAATGCTATATGATGAAGAAGATGAACTGTCTTTTTCATGAGCACTTTTATGTTCTCATCTCCCGTAGCTCCTAGGAACCAGCTGCTATGTGAACTGTTAACACCTCAGCTCAAAGAGACTGCAGACCAAACAGAAAGTCTTCTTCTGGGGAAATTCTTGAGCTCAGGTGATTGTAGGATTAGTTTGGATAAATAAAGAACTGTAGATTGATAAGATTTTCTGTTAATCTCTAAGGTAAACTTCATGAACATTCACTGCAGAATAACTTTCCTTTCCATGAACAAGCTGTGGTACCTTGAAAATGAGAGGGTAATTTCTTGGGTCTTTGAGTCCCACTCCAGCTCAAAGCAGGTTGACTTCCGAGTTAGGTGGTGCTGCTTTTGTCCTTGTCCACCTGAATATCTCCAAGGGTGGAGATGCTCCAGGCTGTCTGATCACCTGTGCATGGGCTGAGCCACTCTGAAGATCTCTTTTGTCTCCAGCCACATGTAATTTTCCTCCCTGCTCCTTGTGCCTGCTGCCTCTGCCCATCTGCTGTGCACTTTCAAGTGCAGCCAGTCTCCACCTGCTCTGGAACTTTTTGGATAGTGGGAGAGGGCAATTAGGTGTCCCTCCTGGCTGAGCAGACAAACTCTCTTTCTCTCTTCTCTCACATCGTGTGCTCCAGCCCCCTGACCATCCTGGTGGTTTTCTGCTGAACTTGCTGCCCTTCCAGTGCCCCAACTACATTGGGCAGCCCCAAACTGGGTATAGCACTGCAGATATCATCTCAAAAGTATTGTGCAAAGGGGAAGGGTCCCCTGCATTAACTCACTGTGCTGCAACTCGTGCAGCCCAGGGTGCTGTTGGTTTGCTTTACTGCAAGGTTGCATCGTTGTCTCTTGTTTGGGTGGCTGTACATCAGGACTTTTACTCAAACACATGTTTGCAGGCTGTAGGATACACTTAGGATTGCTGCCAGGGAATGTGTCCCTGAGAATGTGCTGCCCACATTCTTTTGAATTTTGGACCTCTTTAGACTATCTCAGATCTTCCAAAAATAAACTTTGCCATATTTTTGCTAGATACTCTTTAATTATTGGTCTTTGGGCTTTAAGATAGTGGAGGCCAGTCCCCTCCTGAATAAAAGGATACTTCGTCAGGCAGTCTTGGAGGAAATGAGCTGCTCAAGTGAACTGATGTGGAATTTAAGTAAGAGCCCAGCATAAATGCTAACAGGCATTGGCCTAAAAATATCTGCTGCTTTTCTGCTTCAGAAAGAATGACATGCACCTCTGATAACTTGTCTTGTGGTGAGTCCTGCCAGGCTGTGCCTGGATCCAGAATGATTGCTGCATTTCCTGGTGCTTTGAGGAGGAGGAAAACAGATGAGAGGTGCCAATAAACCTGTTTTCCTCTAAGAATAACTGCAGCTGAAGCCACCGTTGGCCACAGGATGCTGTCCACAAATGCAGATCGATAGACAGTTCATTGTGCATGGCTAATAAAACTGTGTGTGTGTGCGTATCTCTATATGTGTGTGTCTTCATGGTGTGATATCTGAAACTATTACACCCGAGCCAGATTGGCTGTTGAACTTGGTTATGTTTACTCAAGGCGTGGCAAAAGCTTCCCTATATAGGAGAGCAGGGATAGTGCCAGCCCGTGTCTCTGCTGGGGTTGGCTGGAGTTACACTGGAGGCACTGCAGGTAAAAAACATCCCTTTGCTGTTTTATTTAGCACAGGATGAAGCAGGTGAAATACAAATAATAGGACTGGAAAAGCACCACAGACGCGTTGAGAGGGATTTGCCTTGGAGGGACAGAATAAATTAGAGTTCCTGTCCTTAATGTTACCTGGAGGGAAAGAAAAGAAGAATTTGCCATCGTAGAAAGAGCCTCCTTTGTAAAACGGTAAGTTGTCAGAAGTAATTGGATCAAGTGGGAGTAGAGATTCTAAGATGAGGAGGATGCTGTAGTTACTGTAGGCTGCTGTTAAATGAGGTAGAAAAAAGGTATCTGGAACTGTCCTATGCTGTGTATGCAAAACAAGAAGAAAATTGACTTAATAAATAGCCAGAAGGGAGTACTTCACAGGCTGTTGGGAGCAGAAGGTCATGCAAGATGCCACTGGGAAAGTAATCTCCTGGAGGGTTGCCAGAGTGCCTGGCTTTGGCTTTGATTTTCTGTGGTACCCCAGGCTTTTGCACATGGTGTGTCCAAGGAGCTGCTGTCCATCTGGGGTTTGGGATGTCCACGTTCTGGTCCCTGCACTGCCTCTTCAACTTGCTGTCTCTGCAGGAGGCTGCTGACTCTCATTTGGTTTTTCCTCTGAATGCTAGGAAAGATAATAAACTCACACTTTGCTTCATTGTAAGATAATTCTGGAACTGAGTCCCTGAAGTTTTTACAATGCTTCAAGTACATGAATGACAAGATCTTAGAGGAAAGAGTGCTGGCATTACTGTGGCATATATTGAGTATTATGGGGAGATGAAATGTAGCTTGATAGTTTGGAGTGTTTGAGAGGAAAGAGGGGAAGAAGGGCTGCTGGCTTTTTGGCTCTTCTGGTACTCTTCGTTGTGTTTGAGAAAATTAGTTGCTCTTTCAAAAGTACAGAAACTGAGCTAAGCCAACGTATAATGGAAATGTTTTGAGAAAATCAGTGGAGAAGAGAAGGTTCTGCTGTGAAGTACACATGGTTTCTAATTGCCTGTTTCTACTTTCTACTCTGTGAAAAATACCAAAGCCATTGAAGGAAGTGTCTGTACTGTGACATAAATCTTTATGCGAAGTGTAATTAGCTGTCAGTAGCATTTGCCACCATTGAGTACCTGATTGTAGTCATGGCTTGACATCTTTTCTGAATGAGAGCTGGAGGGAGACAGGACACACCTTCACTGCTGCCTTCTGAGATGGTCAGTGCAGAGCATGGTGGCTGTTTGGGGTTCCCCCATGGATTTCTGCCAGAGTCACCAACCTTTTTGCCCCTCTGTGCTTGGAGACTCCTCTTTCCTTCCCATCCCTTCCAACTGCATCACTTGATCTCTTTTTATCCTTCTCTCTGTAGCTTTTTCTTTGCTTACGTTCTCTACCTCATTCTTTGCTGTTTGTCCCTTTCTCAGGGACAGACAACACGGGTGTCCCTCTGTCAAGAATGAAGAGGAGCCACAAAAGAGCAGCAGGTGCAAAGTTGTGTTTGATTCCCTTCCCCATTTCATATAAGTAAGTGAGTGGAAGGGGATCCCAGGACTAAGCAAATGTTTGTTTAACCCCTCCTGAATGTTTACCTCTTTCTGAATAATTACTTTCCTTAGCTGAGTGGCAGTCTCTTTTCTTTAGAGTTTGACAAAAAGTCTGAACCAGCTTTTGTGAGCATTTGAAATCCTTCCCTCTCTCCTTGCATCTTGTGGCTGGGAGCAGTCCAAGGGCAACATCTCTGATATCCATTCCATTATAACTCTGTCCCTTGAAAGCCCTTCTGGCTCTCCAGGTCAGTAACAGTAAGAAGCTCCCCAGTCAAGCAGGCAATATTCAGCTTGACCAACTTTTGTGATCTTTGCTGTTGCTGACGGACCCACGAGAGCCACGTGGGAGAGTTGTGGCCAGGATTCAGGATGCTGCTCCAGAAGAGGAGGCCATCAGAGCATGTTGGAGCAGCCAGGACACTGCTAGCCAGGTCCTGACCCCATGGACTGCCCGCAGAGGGGCATGGGTGGCTGTAGAACTCATGTGTCTGTGGTGATGAAGATATTCCTGCAAGGGAGTCGTAGTTAAGTGTGTTATTTTCCTCAGTCTGGTTGCTAATTTAATCCTGATATGTTAAACAACGCAATTAAACACACACACACACATGCTAAAAACTCTTGTTCTCTGTCAGAAGAGAGGGAACGTGTGTCAGACCCAGCCTTCAAGCTCTGTTAATTTTAATTTGAGTTTTGGAATTAGTAATCAGTTTAGCTGGAACACTGTTTCAAGAAATAGATCTTAGCATGCACGGAGTCTGGGCACAGTTTCAAATGAGTATTTGTTAAGAAGCCATTCCCTTGTCATGTTATGGTACATTACATGAGATTTATTTCCATTGTATTAAAAAATGCAAACCCAAGGGGAATGCTCTCTCTTCTTGTGGCTGAGGGTGGTTTTGGATGTTTTTTGTGGGGCTTTTAATTACAACAATGAGATGCAAACCCACTTACTTGTTTAGACTGTTGTTACCATGCCAGGAGGCTAAGTGACTTGAAGCACCAAGAAAGGTGATGAGACTAAATAAAAAGGGTGTAGGGAGGGGAGTGGGGGGGCTATATCACACCTTCATTGTGGCTGAGCTGTGTTTTTGACGTGTGGGAAGAATTCGTAATACCAACCTGAGGCTTTGCTCTTACTGGAGCCATCTTTTCTATGTGTGCAGCACCAGGGACATCTCAGATCCACAGATAAGTTTTTTTGGTAGAAAAGAGTCCTTTCATCTACAAAAAATTTAAACAAAAAAAAATCAAATAAGCAAACAAAACCAATCAAAAGAGCTATGGCATCTGGTTGCTGAGAAGTGAAACTAGGCGACTTCAGGCTAGAAATTAGCACAGCAAAGTTAATTAACTGTTGTTGAGGCTTGCCCAGGGCATGTGGTGGATTTTCCAGTGCTAATTTATGAAAAGGTACATCTTAAGTGGAAGTCAGGAGCTGGGAGTAGGAATCCCTGAATCAGATTTATGACATCCATAAAGCAAGATGCCAGAGGAGGATCACAGTGATTCTGCCTTTAAAAGTCTGCTGATAAGGGACTTCTCTTTTCCTAAGGAAACAGGCAAAAGGGGAAATATAGCTCAGGGTAGTTAATATTTTGGTTTTGTCGGGGCAAATGGGAATGAAGAATGAAAACTGGTGTGGACCCTGAGTCGTGTTTTTATCCAGCAACATGTAATTTTGTGTGACAATAGGAGCTGAAGGAACCAGGAGGCAAGGTGGGCTGCACAACCTTCCTGCTACTTCTCTGAACCCTGAAACCACAACAGAACCTTCCAGCTGAAGGGAGATCCCCAGGAGGTGGTGCCCAGGTGTGTGTCTCTCTGTACATCCGTGTGGCTCTGGGGAGAACACCTCAAAGCTTGTGCTCTGATTGGACAGAACAAATTGCTTTCTTTAAGCTCCAGTGCCACTAGCCCCTCCAAATATGCAGTTTTTCCTCTTTCTTGTGCCCTTCTCCCACTCCTGTCCTCAAAGCCCATCCCACAGTCCAGTGTCTCCATGGAAGATGAACTATCTCTCCTTGGAACAAAAGTAGATTTTTGATGGCAGGAATCCTGCTGTGCTTTTTGATGCCTGTAGAGGAACAAAGCTCTCAAAGGGAGATTTTGGCTCCTGCATCCATCCCTAGCTGTGCCAGCAGGTGTATTAGCAGGTCTCTTCAGTCCAGGGTTTCACTGCACGTTTGAAATGTTAATTTTCCTGATTGAAGTGCCCCTTTCTGTTAGACACATTAGCAGAGAGGGGTTCAGCCATTCAGCCTGGAATACCTGTAGGGGCCATGCAGTAGTCATAGACTGCCCAGTTTAAACAGCAGCTTGAAATCCTGTGCCCTGGGCACAGCTGACCAGAAGAGTCCTGGGTACCCGTGGGCATCGTCCCTGCTCGCACTCACACTCCCCTGCCTCTGCAGCTCCATCCCCTGTGCCCGCCTGTATTGCAGCTGTACCTCAGTGCTCACACAGCAGCTCTCTAACAGCTTTGCTCTCTGTCCTCAGGGAAGACTCCAAATTGAATTTGTAGCACTGACAGCACTGGTTTAAGATAAACCAGTTGGGATTTGACGACTGCTCTTTCCCCATGCATTTCCAGCTAATAAGGATTTTGTCACTGTGGCTGCCCTCAGTTTTTCGAGCTGCTGCTTCACAATCCTCCTGGTGGGAGGGGGAGGTGTTATCCCACACACTCCTGATGCACCGCTTTGCATCGGGAAGCTGATGGCAGTCCCTGTCTTCCCCTCGCAGGAAAGGGGAATGATGCTCGCCTCCAGCTCCGCTCCCATGCCAGAGCAGGGCTGGCAAACCACAGGAGCAACGGGAAGCCTCCAGAACCTGAAGAAATTTAACAGACAGGATTTCAAAAACCTGCGAGCCTTGTGCCTGAGCCAAGGGGTGCTCTTTGAGGATGCCACCTTCCCCGCTCACATCAGCTCCATCGGTCCCAGCCTGCTCCCGAAAGAGCAGCTCCGGCAAATACAATGGAAGAGGCCAACGGTGAGTTCCTCTAGGTGGGTGCTTTGTGGCACTATTGCCCTGATGGCCAGTGGCCAAAGGCTTGCACTCTGGGCTGGGAGGCCTGTGCACAAAGGTACACCTCAAGAGGAACACTGGAAGCACACTGGCAAGGAGGGATCCTTGCTGTGGGATGTGTGGAGGGAGGATAACCTCTGCAACATTAATGGTTTCATTAGGTACGTTTTTGTAGGAAGTTTGCTTCCATCTGTGAACCTGGCTAGAACTACTGTTCCCACTTTGATCTGCTTCTAGAGGACTTTGTGCAGACCTGAAAAGTTGTTAAATTCTATTGAAGATCTCCGATTTCTGTAATCCAAGCGACTGACTCAGCAATACCTATTTTAAAGTAACTGGGGCAAGGCAGGAGATGAAGTACATTTGTGTGCTGATTCCCAGTTGCAATTTAATAGGCAGTTATCGTCTGGCATATGGAAGTTTAGAATGGGAGGTGGAATCACATGCTCAGCTCTTTTATCCTAGGACCTAATTTAGGAAATCTTCCCGTGGTCCAACTGCTCTGTATAGCACTGCTGTGCACCATGTGCTGCTGGTGCAGCTCCTGGATCAGCCACGTGCTGCCCTTTTTCTGGGTTTTGCTGAGCACACTGCTAGTGCCTGGGGTCTTTGGTTTCCCTGTGCTGGGCAAACCAGCTCATCTCCCTGGAGGCAATGCCTCAGGGTGTAGAGACAGTGGCTGTGAGACTGTAAAGAGACAGCACAAAACAACAGGAAAGGATTTATTTGGATGGCAGGTGCATTAGGGCAGTGAGGGTGTGCTGCAGCGTGGTGGCCTTGGCACAGCAGCAGAGGATGCAGGCAGCATGGATGTTGAAACTCGTGGATCCCAGAAGGGAAGCAGAGTAGCCAGGACAACCTGCAGAGCTGCTAAATGTGGATGCCCACGTGGATTGGTAGGTGTGGAGGTGCTGGGTGCGGATATTTGGATGCCCTCTGTGGAGATGTTATGAAGAGATCATTCTCCTCTGCAGAAGGTGCTCCTACCACAGGCTGAATGTCTGGGCTTCTCCTTAGGCAGTTTTCCTTCAAAGTCTGTGTCTGGTGAGAGTGCAGCTGGTGATGTGATTTTTACACCAGCACTCTGCTTATGGGTTCACAGCAGGTGGGAATAATCTCTCTTGAAAGTTGGTTGTATTAGGAAAGTAACTAAAAATGCAAAGGGGAGGAGTTAGTTGCCTCTGTTTCCAGTCTGAGAGAGAACAAACAGGATAACTAAGCATTAGATTCACAAAAGACAAACACAGATATTAGCAAAGACTCTCCAGGGGCATTTTAAAGATGAATAAACTGGAATAAAATGTTACGATACAGTTCTTTTAAGTGCTAACATGCCGGTGTTTTTGCAGCAGAGAAGTGTAGGACTTCAAAAGCATACAAAGTGACTTGGAAACCCAAATACCACTGATTTTGAGGCACTGCACTGTGGGATGAACATCTATCCTACTCTAATATCTTGAGAGTTATTTCATGTGCAAAGGGACTGATGTACCTTGCCAAAAGCAGAATCTGCTGCTGCTAGTGCTTGAAGCTTGTCAGGTGAGGCAGGTATTGGAGAATTCCCTTCTATTTTGCTGAATCCATGAATACTAAGGTTGTGAATAAAAGTTTTTGTGAAATAGGTTTCAAAAATTTGCATACGTCCTCTCCATCCCAGCACTTCTCTTCTGAAGAATTTTTTTACAGCAGCCAACAATTTTCCAGAGTGCTTTTTCAGGAAGGAGCAGGATCAAAATCCTTGGTTTTGCCAGAGCTCTCCTTCAAAAAATTAAACCATATGCTCATGACCCAGAGTTCATGACGTGAATGTTGAAAAGCCTTTTGTTCTTTTATAGAGACTAAAGCAGCATCACCAGCTGCTCTTCTATGAATGCCAGCTCAACTGGATTGTCTAGAACAGAAACTCAGGATTCCAATGCTGAAGAAGGCCTCATCTTTTCCCCCTCAGTTTGACCAGAATTTTCACCTGTAGATGTCTCCCAAACTTGCAGGCTTCACCTTGCCAGACAAGAATGCAAGATAAAGGGCAGTGGCATCAACTGCCTGAGGAGACCGACCAGAAATTCCCAAACATCACCACAGAAGCCATGCTGTGTCATGGTGACATCGAAGTGTGGCCTCACTTTCCTGACAGAATGAAACAGGGGTAAAAGAAGTTGCTAAATTGCAGTGGGTCTTTTTGTTTATAGAGCTGCAGATGTTTTGAGTGAAAGGTCAGGAAGCAAATAAAACTGTGTTTGCATTTCCTAAGTCCTGAAAGGCCAATGCTGTGTCCAGTTGCCTCTGAGAGTTGGACTCCCGGGAGGAAGAGGGAGGTATCAGGAGTAGTGGTGTCCCAAAACCTGAAGTTTTTCAGTTGTGCACCTTTCACCCATGCAGAAATGTTTGTACAATCTTTGTTTGTAAGCCATTGCAGTGCTAACTCTAAGGATATGTGATCCCAGGTGTTTAAGCTGCTTAAACAGCTCAGCCAAGAGATACCTATGATTTCCCCAAGAGAGACTGTTTCCTACCTGAATACATCTCCCAGAGACTCACTGCAGTTGTATCCTGCTGACAAATCATGGCCAATTTAACCTATATCTGTATTTTTCTCAGCCTCTACCATTAGCTCCCTCTGACATTAAAATAAATTTGTCTGGAATTGTGCCTGTGACTGGCACCTTGGTCCTAATAAGCTCTTAGCCTCCATTTACTGTCACACAGTATCTGGTTATTTTAGTGGTAGATAGCAATTATAACTGCTGTCTTTGTTCCAGATCCAACTGAGCAGTTGAGCAACATGCTGCTTCTATTTTACCTTGTACATTGTCAAGAGAATTGCCAATTATGCTCAGAGTTTGGAGTCTTCATATTTGGGGGTAATGCATAAAGTAGAGAGAAAACAGCTTGATTTCAGGCAGTAACAGTCAGCAGTGACAGTCAGAAACAACTTTTTGACTTGTAAACTGATCTTGTTTAATAGGCGTGCACCTGAAAAGGGAGAGAAGGTGGCTCAGGAACACCAAGACAACATTTGAAATGTCACTTTTGCAACTCTGCCATAGTTACAGTTTCCCATCAGATGGGGACTGCTCCAGGCTATGTTTGCATCCCTAGACCCTCAATCTATGCCCATTGAAATGTGCAATCTGTAACTGAGATTTTGCCTGCGGCACTTCAAGCATTACTAGGGGTCAGGCTGAAGGTACCAAATACAGCAGGACCTCACAATTAACTATTGCTTTGGCTCACCAGCAGTTTGAGAAATGGAAAAGAAGTTCTATTTTAGACTGAATAAAGTGTTTTCTATAGCTAGGCTTTCCTTAAGATCAATCAAAGGGAAATTCTCCATGAAGAATTATGTCAAATTTTAAAACTGAGATGCTTCTTTTAAAATGTTCAGAACAATTTTTTTCATTGTTTTCTGCTTTTCCTTCACACAAGATATTGATTGAAACTGAGGAAGCTATGAAATGATTAACTGTTGCAGAATATGCATTTTTATTCAATTAATATTCAGGCCTAAAGATTTCTCTCTGTTCTGATCACAGTGTATAATATTGTGCAGATGCAAAAAGAAACTGAAGGAGGATGGTCCAGACGATGTGCATTGTGGTGATGCTAAATGCGGAATGCTTCACTCCTGCTAACATTGGTTATATTTTCAGATATGATATGTGTGAGAGGAGAGAGATTACCACCTGTGCAGCAGTGCCTTGGCCCTGCACCAGGGATAGCACTGTGCTCAGTATGGTGCCCATTGTAAATGTGAAGGATAGTCCGTGATCTTCAGTGCTTATGCTTTAAAAGAATGCTAAAATGGGCACAGGGTGGAGTTGCTGAAGGCTTTTCTGAACGGTCTTCAAGGTTGCAGACTACTGCTCCTGCCCTGCTCACCCTTGGTCTCTTGGGGACCTTAGCTCCTTTATGGAATGAGGGATGCTGAGCAGGAGCTGGCATAGGATCTGTCCTCTGATTAGCGTAGACAGTTAGTGTGGGGGCAGCTGGAAGAAAAGCTGCAAGGTGGCCAGTGGCATTTTGAGGATCAGCATGGGAGGAATCCCAGGGTGCCTCTGATGTAACCTGTAGAGAGGTGGGTGGTGAAAGGACTGTCTGGAAGAGCTGACATGGCCTTTGTCTGCATCATCAGTCTGTTCAGAGCATCAGGGCATGGATTCCGTGGGTGTTGTCTCAGGTGTCTGGGGTCAGGTGATGAGAAAGGTAGTGTCCAATAGAATTCTTTGGATGCACAAAGAGGCAGCGTGAGCTCAGGCAAGGGATACACCTTGTTCTCATAGCAGAGCCCTGTGCTACTGCACTCAGCACCTAAAAAACTTAGGAGAAAATTATACTTATTGAGCCAATGCTTGTTAGCTGGGAAAAGTGATCCATCATTTGAATCACTCATTTTGTAAATGGGCTTGCTCATGTTTTTAATTCCCTTCCTCTATCCCTTCCCAAAGAAAACATAATCACCTTTCAGGAGCAGAGTATCTATTGTTATCCTGCATAGCCTTTGGCGATTATTTGTTCCCTGACCTGTTATTTATTTTCCAGAAATTTCCAAGAATTAGCATCAGCACTGAGGAATTTTGAATCTAGCAACTGACTTAAAAAATGGACCCCTTAAAAAATAATTTTGAAGTTAGCATCTTTCTAGATCGATAAGCTGAGCTGGATTTCTACTACATCAGACTTGGCTTGTCTGTAGCTGGAGGGGACTAAAAAACAAATTTCATTCACGTAAGAATTTAGACAACAATTTGAAGTTAACCCAAAAACTTGTCTCTAGTAGAAGAAGGAATAAATGAAGAAAAACCTACCAAAAACAAACAAAAAACAAAAAAAAGCAGAGGAAGAAGAAATGCAGGTTGTCACATGAGCTGCTTTAATGAGGAAAGTTATGGGAAATGTGTGGCAGCAAGGGGTGGCAGTGTCCTGCAGGTCTGTCACTTTGGGGCCAGCCCCCAGCATGAGCCAAAGCTGCTCACCAGCTGCTTGTGGTGGAGTTCACAGCTTCAGTCATTCCCAGGGGCCAGCAGGATCCTGGATCCTGTTCAGTGTTTCTCCGTGATAAAAATCAAAATCAATTCTCCTTGTTCTTTCTGAGTGTGCATGTGCAATCAGTGTAATTGAACGGGAGCAGCATCCCCCTTGTCTCAGCCCTTGCCTGCTCAGTTGATGGTACCTGACCCCGGCTCAGAGTTCACCCCTGTGGCCTGGGGAGGCTGCACTGCATCACCAGCTGTTACGCCTGTCTTTGTGGAAGGTGGAAAATGTTTATTTGCCTAGTATTTCCTGACTCCACTGGTCTTTGGGGAGAGCTGCTTGTGAGGGGGAATTTTTACATCCTAGGTGGATTGGAAAGCAGATTGGTGGATGGTTTGCTGACTGCCCTGCTTGCCTGTTTCTCAGGCTGGGGAGTCTCAGGCAGGATTATATGGCTGTGTTGGCTGAAGGGTAGTTGGTAACACCGTGGCACTTCCAGCTTTTACTGTATGATCCCAGGGGGAGGTTCCAAGACCTCTAAGGAAGCTGCCTCTCAAAGGCTCCAGGCACACAGGACTACTTCCCTTGTTCACCTCCTTTGTCTTTGTCGTCTTTGTTTTAGCAATTTGCCACACAAAGCAAACAGGTTTCAGGTAAAATCTGAGCTGGTTTCTAGTTATTAACATTAGTCTCCCCTCCAGCAAGACTTAGCTTTCACATTTGTGGGCTCCACACCTGTGTGGAGTATGGTGAACTCATTCTTCCAATGTAAAAGAAAACTGGAGCAGACCATGGCTTTTGTAAGCAACCAATGCATTTGCATTGAAATCAATTAAGAATTAATTAAGAATTGAGCTATTCTGCTGTAAAGCAGGGAATTGAGTTTTGTCAGTGCAAGCAAACCCCTTGAGAGTAGTCTGATTTTCCTATTAACTTTGGTTTGCTCAGTTATCCTCTCCCTCTCTGATCTGCTGGGGACAAGTCATTGCACGTCAGACCTTTGGTGTGGCCCAGCACAGCTTATATTGTGTGGGTTGGAGAAGACCTTTGAAATCACAGAGTCCAACCATTAACCCAGCACTGCCAAGCCACCATGTCCCCCAGTACCACATCTACGTGTCTTTTAAATACCTCCAGGGAGGTGACTCTACCACCTCTGTTCCAGTGCTCGGTGAATGAATGTTTTCCCAATATCCAACATAAACCTGCCCTGGCACAACCTGAAGCCATCTCCTCTTGTTCTGCCACTTGTTACCTGGCAGAAGAGACTCTGTAGCTCCTACCTGGCCACCACCTCCTTTCAGGAAGGTGTGGAGAGTCAACCCCTGAGCCTCTTTTTCGTCAGGCTAAAAAAACCCAGCTTCCCCATCTGCTTCTCATGAGACTTGTGCTCCAGACCCTCTGCTAGCTTTGTCCTTTGTTCTGCCCTCCTTCATTACCCCAACTATCTTCTTTCTGTGGAGGTTTCCTGTGGTTATGGGATGTATGAGTGGTGTGACTGACCCCTGCTCAGCCCACTGCTGGGCAGGACCTTCAGCCCAGGGAACTGTAGTTCCGTGTTTATTTCTTAATCCACAGCAACACTATTACAGGCACAGCAGTGCTGTTGAATTAACATTTGTCCAGCTGAGAACAGTTTGGCTTTCAATAAATAGCAGCCTTTTTATTTGTCTTAATTGGTGTGTGTTGAACAGGGAGCACCATGACTCATGGTGGCAGGATGTGTAAGGATGGGGGAGCAGCACAAGGGTAGCTGAAGGGAAGCATGTGGACCTGTGGCAGGAACAGAAACAGGGCTGGCATTTTATTTTGGGGTTAAGGGGAACTGACCGGGAGGTGGCTCTGCAAACAGTCAGCTCCAGCCTTTTAACCCTCAGTAGCCTTGTGCCTGCAATGAGGATCATGCTGGGCCAGTGGGGAAATGTGTGGGAAAGCGGCCAGCACCCAGCCAGAGAAGCCTGCTGCCAGGCTGGGTTACACTGCCTGGGAAATCCCACCTCAGGCTTCCAGTTTCTCACAGAACTGTTTGACTGTGTCCTTTGCATGTCTGCATGTGGTCTACATCTACACTACTCACCTCCAGCTCCTTCTGGGGGCTTGTTCTTCCCTAAGAATTTCAAGCAGTTATAAAAAGAGATTTAGAGATAAATGCACGTACAGTACGCTTTCCTTCCACCTCTCAGATTAATTTTCTATCTTGCCCTTTATATGAACAGTACTTCTGTGGTAAAACCATGCTCTAGAGGATGAACTAGTTTGAACTGGAACTTCTCTTTACTTTTGAATTCATAATGAAGTCTTCAGTGGGCTGGGGAAAGCGAGTGATGAGAGCTTTGTCCTGGGGGGATGAGTTCAGTCAGAGTGCTTTACTTGCAGCCCATATGGTTGCCTTCACTGATGGGCTCATAGATACTCTGAGAAGAGACCATGTGCCTCCCTGAGCTCCCTCTTCTTTCCTCCTCCAGCTAAAACTGAGAAGTCTCCGTGAAAATGCCACAAAGCCTCATCTCAGTGAGGCAGGGCAATGCTTCTGGACGGACTTATAGTTAAAGCTGTGGTTTCTCTCTTTGTCATGCAATTGGAGCAGTAGGAAATAGTGAGGCTTGCACATTTTGTGTAGTGGTAACTATGTGTTTAGCAGTGCTTTGCAATAATGGACGATATGGTGTTTTATGACTGCTGTATTCTTGCCTTTGAAGAAAGAAGAGATAATTGGAGACTTCCTTTCCTCCTGGTTGAAAAGGTCCGGATTTCCAGAGCACTGCACCCATCACAATTATGTCCTCTCTGTGCTCTGTCAGAAGCCCTCTGTGGGTTCAGACAGCTGCTGAGCAGCCCCTTCCCCTGGCTAGTGGAAACAGCACACTCTGTATTGTGTCTCTATATTTTGTATTGTGTCTCAGTTATTGCCCCGGAGTCTGTGGGGAGTGCAGGCTCCTGGAAGCAGGATGGTGGGGAATACAGCATTGGAGTGTTCCCTTTGGCAGCCACAGAGATGTCTGTGGGCACAGTCAAGGCATGTTGGCTGGGGCTGACTTCAGATTATGTCTTTTCTGGTTTTAGACCGAATTGCCAGTTTCTCTCAGCAAGGAACCTGCTTAATGACTCAGATCATCCCAGTTTGCTCACTGGGGAGTCAAACACCTTGGTGGGCTATAGAATATTTGGCGAGACAACTAATTAGCTGACTTTTCAGCTAGTCCCCACGACAGGCTAGCAGAATCCACAGAGCACTTATGAGCTTTAGCATCCTGGCACAGAGCAGAGCATCAGCCCTTTCCTCGGGGATCCCATAAAGACACAGATGCCTTCCCATTTGTTTCAGGCTCATGCTTCTGGGTGGTGCTTACCCCTGTGGCAGCTATGCACTGTAGCCCAGCCACCCTGCTTCAGGCAACTCAGACTTCAAAGCCCTCAGAAAGGATGGGGGAAGTAAAAATACCCATTATTTTATGCTGCTGGTTTTCTGGGATGACTATTAGCAAGTCAGACACACACAAAAACATGGGCAAGTTCAAAGCCTTGCCACGCAGTTTAATCTTTCCTGCTTGTGGAAAGTTTTGATTTCACCCAGGTGAGGGGCACAAACTGCTCTGGGAAATGGAGGTAGGGAGAAGATAAAGCTGGATGGATGTAGAGCAGAAGGGAGAAGGGCTCAGTGCTGCTTCTTCCTTATACAATAAGCAACCACTGCTGCTGGTGGCCACACATCTTAGGCCTGCTCCCATGCCATGGGCAAATCTCACTGCAAATCCCCAAAGTCCTGGGATGGGTGGAGATGGCTGTAGAAAAGCATCTCTCAAGGAATTTGCCTGCTGAGGCTGCTTTCCCCCACATCAGCAGTGCTATGGGAGCCCGATCTGCCCACCAGCCTGGAGCAGTGACGTTGCATTGCATCTTTTCCTGACAGGGAAACTTTTTAGAGGGGTTTGATCACTGTGAAGCCATTTCAGGAAGCTGACAGCATTTGCTAATGCTGAGCTCACGCAACCGTGCAAGTCATGAGTCACATTGTGAGCTGGTCTCATTTTTGTGCAGCATGTGAGATCAGCTGGGGAGAAGGAATGCCAGGGCCTGTTCAGGGAAGGGCTGCTATATTATTTTTCTTACCAGGACTTTTTTTTCCTTCCTTTTATCTCTTTGTTTTCTTACATGTGTGGTGACTTGCCTATTTCAGGCTGATTGCTCTTTCCAAACAGAGCCTTACCACAATGGAGAGTGCCAAGGGTTACTCATGGGGGATGCTGAGACCATTCCTTCCTGAGCACTCAGATATCCCACAGAATAGAGAATGTTTCACATTTCTGTGTGCAAAGCCAAGCTCTGAAGTGCTTCCCCCTTCACTGCCCAAGCAAGACTCTTAAGGAAAATTCTCCCTGAATCAAAAATGTCAGCCAGGCCTATGGGATTTTGCAGACAGAGATTAAGCTCTCTTTCTGTATCTTCTTCACCAGAGTGAAGAAAAGCAGCCCAGGCTGACCTGTATTAGACCTGAATGGAAACACAAAAGGCTCAGAGTGAAAAATGCTCCCAGACCCACTGCTGAGCTGAAGTATAGACCCTGTTCCACTTTGCTTGGAGACCTGTGTGTCTCTGCCCTGCTGTGTCCCGGGAAACTGCATGATTGCAATGCCAAGCTCAGAGCTCTCTCTAAAAGGTGTCAGTGGCATTAGAGAAACCCAAATGAAAACTCAGGGAGCACCCACCCTCAAGTCCCCACCCCCAGGAATATCTGAGCAGATTAAAGAAGAGATGACTGCGTATCTCCTCTTGTTTTGTTGGAGGCAGGCAGCAAAACATCAGGGCTCAAGAAAAGCAGTTTTCATATGTGGAAAATGTAGGCAAAGTCTTCAAGGGGCAGGAACACTGCTGGCAAAGGCTGGGCATTTACACTGTTCTTTGCATTTTCTTTCCTCCAGGAACTTCAGAGAAATCCTTACTTGATCATGGATGGAGTTAGCAGATTTGATATCATGCAAGGAGAAATAGGTAAGGTGATATTCTTGATTTAGAAGAGATCTGCACAAAGCAATAACCTGTGACTGCTTTGCCATGTTCCAAGTGTTTGGTGGGAAGATGTGAAGCATGGTAGCTGCAGTAAATAATCAGTGCAGGCCAATCTAGACTGGCACAAGTCCACACACAGCTTATTGCAGATATTTAACAGGATTCCCAAATGCAGCAGCTCAGATCTTTGTTACTTTTGTCTGGCGTCTGCCTTCTGTCTGTGTAAGGCCAAGCTTAGAAATGGAGATCCAGCTGAGATCAGGCAGATGCTTCAAGAAGAAGGGTTAAACAAGAAGGGTTAAACACAGTTAAGTGTAGGTAGATTAGTAGGCACAGCTCCATCTTCTGTAGGGCTGAATTTTCTTTCCATCCTAGTATCTTCATTTGACTGTCAGTGTTTTCTTTCCTGTGGATATTTCTGTTCAATCCTCTGATACTTAGCCAGTATCAGAGTATGTATCTGCACCCTGTGCCAATTCCATCTTGTACTCCTGGACCATGTTGGTCTTTGGGAGCAGCTCTGCTCCCACATAGAAAGAAAAGCCCTTCCATTTCCCACTCCACTGAGAAGTTTGAAGCTTTCCTGTTCTGGACTGCAAGCTTCAACATGACTGCAAAAGATAGGAGCAGCCTGAAAGTACAAAAGGGTGTCCGGGTGACAGCAGGGTTCCCAGTGGACATTGCAGGTGAATCCTGGGCAGTGCTTCAGCATTTTGGAGGGGGAAAAGGAGACAGAAGAATGTTGGTTGCTTTTAGCAAAGTGATTCTTAGATGTTGCAGCCCGTTCTCTTTCTGAAGAGTCAGCTGTCATCCAGACCAGTGAGTAACTGACTGAATGCACTGATTTCTCCCCTCCCCTGAGGCGACTGCTGGATGCTGGCTGCCCTGGGCTCCTTGACACTGCGAAAACAATTTTTGGAAAACGTTTTACCAAAGGACCAAGGATTCCAGGACGATTATGCTGGGATATTTCATTTCCGGGTATGTATTCCCTGTGGTGTTGGTACCACTTGAGCTTGGCTGGTTGGATTGCAAAAGGGTCCAATCTGCAGCCCCACATCTCAACATCCCTGAATGCTTTGGTTCTTCAATGCTGACTCCCAATTCGGACCTTTGCAGAAAATCCTGAATTTTTAAATGATTCCTTGTGCTCCAGGTGGTGCAATTGCACTTCAGGGAATTTGATGCCCTTTTCTGAAAGTTATGACTGCAAAGGCAGCAATACCAGCTGTTCAGATAGACTTGTGTACATATATGTTTTAGATGGCATTCTGGTGGCTGCTTTGATTTGGGCAGTCTGTTATGGCTATCATCTCACCTGCACTATCTATTCGGCTTCATTTTCTGTTTCCCCACTTCACCTTGCCCTTTTAGCTCGTTGTAATGGCTGGAAATTACAAATCTTTGGAGACAGATCAGAGGAACAGGCTTTTGATATTTTGAAAAGAGATTTGTTTCAGAGAGAGGAACAAGGCTTTTTAGTAAATCTCACTTTCTACCAACTTCTAAAATTGTCTGAATCTCCCAGAAGGGTGACATGAGTAGCAACTGGCAGGCTCTGCTTGCTTATATCTGAGTCAAACAAATATCTGGTGGGATTAGAAGAATTTGCAGCACCATTAAACTCCAGAAGCTAAACAGGATGTGGAGAAAATCAGGATAAACTCAGCCATTCCGCATCCCCCTTATTTCAAAAATCTCTTTTGTTTTATGCAGCTCAGCACCAAACAAAGAGCTCTGGCAGTGAGACTTCTTTGACCTCCTAGGCTCTTGTGGAGCAGCACCAGGAGGATTATCTTGTGGACAGTCTAAAGTTTGCTCTGTTCCTTTGCTCCTTAGAATACCAGCTGTTTCTATCTTGGCACACGCCCAGCATACCCTACCACACTGTATGAGATAAACCAGCTGAAGGGACACCAGTCTGCTTAAAACACATTAAAAAGATGCAAGCTAGATTGTCTTTCATGGGAGCTTTGAAAAGATTAGTTAGGCACAATCCTTAAATCTTAAGCAGTATAAATACCTTACAGTATTTGAAAATGTTTTCCCTGTCATCTCATCTGCAAATCAATGCAACTGTTTCTGGCTTTCCTTGAGCAATAAACCCCTGAGAAAGCTCCTCTGAATGGAAATGCTTCTCTGCAATGCCTTTCAATTATTCCATCAAAGATATTTTACTGCCATCCACAGGCTAAGCCACTAGTCCTCAGTTCAGTGAAGAATTACAAACAAGGCATATCATATGCTAATATAAAAATTTTAGCTTATAACTTTTCCCACCATTTTGGAACTGGAGCATGTTGCCTCTCAGGAATACAAGGGGCTGCTCCAGTGTTCCTGTACAGCATGAGCTGTTCAGCTGCAAGAGCCAAGGATGTTAAGCACTTCATCAGCTGTAGTTAAGATGGGCAATGTTTTTATCTAGGGAATAATTCCAGTGATGTTATTTCCACGGGGATTAAGTTAGTCTCATGTTTGTCCAGGAATCCCTTTCTCTGCCACAGAAACTGTGGTGCCTATGAGTCAGAGTGTGTCACTCCTTGTGACAGTGAGGAGCAGCACCTCAACTTGGGAAAAACCCAGAAGTATTCTCCAGGGGACTACAGGGGGTTATTGCACAGAACATCAATTCTCAACTGGAGGGATCTGCCCTGGGTGTTAATGTTCCTGCTCTCAGGAAGAAACAGATGAAATCTTTAAAGACCATCAATGGTCAAGACCTCAGTTTCAGGAAACATCCAAAAAGTGCATTTTAACACTATACAAAAGGTTGGTGATAGTTGATAGACATGTGATTTCCTCCTTTCTCGATTCCAGAACTGGATTTTTCTAAGATCCCTCTCGAGGAAGGAAAAAAGGAGGCAAATTAACCACACAGCATTCCCCCCTTGACCATCAGGACCCTAGATGTGTTGTTGTCATCTTGCGACTGTCCATTTATTTTTCCTCCTCTTAAGCCCAGGAAAATAAAGTCCTGATTTAAAGGCTTATCATAAATGTGGAATCGAAGAACTTGCCTCTTTGCATCCTGCCTAAATAGCAATTCTTGGTTTTATTTACTACCACATTCACAGCTGCAGTACTTAAATCCCATAAAGGGGTATAAAGAAATTTAACAAAGCCAGACTCAAGACAAAAAGTGATCCTCTCTGAAAGCAGGAGAATGGCTTCTCCTGCACCACTCTTGTACTTCCAGAGCACTCTAGGACTTCCCATGAGGTTTCTTTCTCCCACTTTGGCTTTTCCTGTCCTTGTGAGCTCAGATGAGACCACCATCTGAAAATCTGTCACAGTCAGGACAAAGCAGCTGTCTTTATCCAGCTGAAGAGAAGCACAGTGCTGCATTCAGACAGCCTCCAAGCTTGAGCTCCCTACCAAACACGGCCAAGGAACTTGACTTTTGGGAAAACATCACTCAGTGGGTTTGGACTGCAGTAATCCCCACAGCGAGTTCTGTATGTTCTCTTTGTTTGCACATGAAGCACCGTGGGGAGGTGTGGCTGGATGTCACACCTTGTTTCCATACACCCCTGCTCTGGCTGGTGACAGAAGGGCTCCTTAGGTGACTGAAAGGACAGCTCCCTTTGGACAGTCCTTTTGCCTGTCTCTCCTTCAGAGGACACCTGGTGGAAGGCTTTTCCTCAAGCCCCCTCTTGCCAAAATCAAGCAGAAGGCTCAAATCTCTCCTGGAGCTCAAGTTGGGGGTTCCAGCCCTGCTGCCTCCTGCCACTATTAATGTAGGAAAGGAGAGGCCTGGGTGAGGCAGGACGTAAGTGGGATCAGACCTGCCTTCAGCTGAGCAGTCTGTAAGATGCTTTGCTGCTGGGCAGATCTGATCTTGTGCTTTTCTAGCAGAACAGCTTCATTTTGGGGTTTTTCATTGACCAAAGCTGCTGAAATAAAATCATGCTAGACTAAATCTATTGCTGGCATACTTCCACTAGAGTCCTTAGCATTACTGCAAATAAGAGCTTGGCCTCTTATGATTTCGAATCATGCTAAGCTACATTAATCTGCTAATGACTCTGGAAATGGCTCCTTTAGTTCATCCCCACAGATCTCTATTCCTGTCTTTTCCCCTGAAAATTTTCATCAGCTGGATCAGCTGGAGGAATACCTGCTCTGCCCACATGCTGGAGAGGCTGCCTGTGTCCTTCACATCAAGGAGATGGATAACACCTCAAAACACTCTTTAGCCACTGCACTGTCTCTGTCCATGACAGCGTCTCAGAGTCTGAGTTGAAACACAGAGGAAAGAAAATTTAGAGGCTGGATCTTGACAAAGCCTCTCTGGCCAAGAGCTGCACTGTGGGGAAAAATCCAGGTGTGGCTGAGTAGAGAGGCTCATAGAATCCACCTGCTGATCATTCTTTATCTTCTTGAAACCTTGCTATTGCCCAAGAGTATTAGCACATTGCCCGTGTTGTATCGCTCCTCCCACTGATTGCAGGACTAGCTATACTCCCCAGGAACTTTCCCTGCCACTGGGAAATCCAGCCAATTGGTAGCTTGTTTAACAATGGGGACCATTAGCCTGAGGCAGTTCAGGAGGGAACTTGCACATATATTTCCATGGTTTAGATTAATTCCAATGCTAGTTAAGGAGGCTTTTTCTTGGCATGGACGTAAGTGCTTAAAAGAGCTCATTTTATTTTCTCTCTCTCTTTTTAAAACATATTTTTTATTTTATTTATTTCCAGTTCTGGCAATATGGAGAATGGGTGGATGTAGTGATAGATGACCGGCTGCCAATCCTAAATGGAAGATATCTGTCTGTACACCCCCGAACTTCAAATGAATTCTGGCCATCCTTGCTGGAAAAAGCATATGCCAAGTAAATATACCTGGTCTGTTCTTCCACCCAGTGCTGCTGAAAGCTTCCTGTGGGTGGTTTCACCCTCTGCCTTGTGCAAAGCACACAGGAAGGAGCTCAGGCTGTCAGCTGCCTAGGTGGTACTGTGCTTATGCAGGGAACCGTGGCTGCAGCAAGCATAGGGCCAACATAAACTGAAGATGCTGGCCTTGGGTTAGACCTAACTCTACCCAGTCCTAAATCTACCCAGTTCAACTCTGAGATGTTAATGCCTGAGAAGCAAAATGAGCAGGGCAATGGTCGGTGACACAAAAGGGCCTGGACTGTCCTCCTGATTTCAGGCAAACTTGTTTGTTTTTCTTCCCATGTTGTCCTCTGTTTAAAACTGCAGAGTCTAAGCATAGATTACCTGTGTTTACAGTCACTAATCAGAGATCATGTGGGTATTTGGAGCAGGCAATGAGAGGAAGCATGACCTGAAGAACATGCCCAGTACAACACGTGTACAACACTTACAGTCCTAGGACTCTGATCAGCTCTCACTTCAAAGAGAGCTGTGACTCTTAGCTGAGGTCCTCAGAGTATGCAGAGTAAATAATGCCTAATAAAGAGATAACAATTTTTTTAAATCCTCTGGAGAGGGAAGGGATCAGATTGTGGTCCCTTAGCATGTGCCCATTTCCCATTATTAAAAATGCTGAAGGAAAGGTCCTGTGATAGGGGTCATATGAAGGGCTGGAACATGGTACCTGAAGCTGGTGTAACATTTGCAATGCACTGAAGAGGAGATGAAGGAAAGAGAAAATAATTTTGGCAGATTTGGTCAGGAATAAGCAAATGTTAAAGCAACATGAGAGCGACTCAGGAAGAGGATGCATTTTGCCCTGAGATACCTCAGAAAAGTTGACTCAGGATTCAGTATCAATTTGCTGCATAAGATTTTAATTACAATGCATACCAAACCTCTATTAAATTAAAGTTGCAAGCAATGCTGTTTATGAGATTCCCATTTGAGAAGTTATTCCCCAGTGCCCAAGACAAATTCTTTTCATCAGTGTAGGACAAGGACAACTCTTCAAAATACAATTAGCTGCAGACTTCATTTGATTACATTCATTAAATACAGTGTGTATGGTGGGGTTTAACAGCATGCTCTACCTGCTCTAAGTACAGCATGTTCCAGCTTATTTGCTGTCTCAATAAAAACCACACGATAAAAACAACAAGGACTCTGTTGGCCATATTAAATTATTATCCTATTATTGCACTCTAGCAGAGTGAACTGGGAACAGTGCTGAGAACTCGTTTCTGCCTTGCCCTGGAAGCGTGGGTAAATACCTTCACCTCTCTTTTCCTTTTACTCATTTGCAAAAGGAATACTGGCAATTTTTGTGAAGAGTCCTGTAAAACTGCAATGTAGAAACTAACAGTTCAGCTCCATTTGACCTGAAACATCCATTTGAACTAGTCACCCTTGGCTCCCTTCCTGTTCAGAAAAAAGAAACTGGATGCTTCAAGATGAGATGCAGCTCATCTCCCTAAAATGCCCGTGTTGGCATGAGATGTACCTTATTATTTTTTTCCACTGTCTGTAAATGGCTCTGGACAGCTGCCTCAGATGGAGATGAATACACAGAAAAAGCTGTCCCTTTGTCTTGTTCCTTCCACAAGGATGTGTTATGCTGTGCCTGGCCAAGTATTTTGATCACGTTTCCTTTCATTGCCTGGCCACGATGTCTACACACCCTGGGCTCCCCTGTGCTCACCACCTCGATGCACACGTTCATTTTTAAAACAAGCACTGTGCATTGTTTATGAAAACAGTGTAAGGACTAATTAACTTCTTTCTCTCTCTTTTTATTATTATTTTTTTTTAATCCTTTAAAATTTTTCCCTAGGTTGCATGGCTCCTACCAGAACTTGAATGGAGGCTACATTTCAGATGCTTTAGTGGACCTCTCAGGTGGAGTCCAAGTGCAGTTTTCACTGCAGAACCCACCTCCTGATCTGGAGGAGATCCTGAAAGCAGCTGACAAATCTCGGTGCCTCATGGGGTGCAGCACCCCGGGCCAGGTGAGTCACAGGGCACTCGCCTGCCTCTCTTGGTTTACTGTGTTTGCACAAAGGCTGCTCTTTGGAGGGCAAAAGTAAGCCCATATTCACTCTGTAAAACATTTACAGTTTATGGATGCCCCAAGGGATCTCGGCAGCAGAAAATAGATCTGATTATAAGGTAAGGACTCTAAGGGCATTTGGGCAGATGTAGATGGATTGGTCTGTGGGAGAGGGGGCTGTGGCTTCTCTCCTGGCTAATTCCACTGCAGTAGAGTGGTGTCCTCTTGCAGCAGCCCTGATTTTGGCCTCATAGCTTTGTGATCAACTCTGGCAAGGCCAAAACACACCTCTCTTCTGTAAGAGGATGCAATTATCTCATTGTGGCCTGCAGGCTTACTGGTATTAATGCTGGGAATTTGCAAAAGGCCGTGTGATACTCAGCAAGTAGCTTTGATAAAATGTCTCCAAGGCTTCCCTTGAAGCTTGTGACATGTGGCTGCAAAGTGTGTGACACTGCTCCTGTGGTGCCTGCTTCCTCAGGACAGGAAGCTTGGCTGCTGCAAACAACCAAGGACTATTCCTTGGCTCAGGTGGCTCAGGTGACCTGGCTGTGAGTGCCAGGGAAGTTCTGCAGTGTCCCAGTCTGACTGCAAGTCACCCAGTCCAGGTCATCCTGCAGCTGCAGCAGCTCTGGGCTGTGGAAGAGCTCACAAAGAAGTGTAGATCTGTAGCTTTGTTAAATTTCCTGGCTTGCTTATGGCTGCAGTGGGAACAACAGTCCCATTCCTGTGGAGTATCTCAGTGTCTGAGACACTGCTGTGGTCAGACCTGAGGCCATGGCAAATGACAGCTCTGGGAGCTGGTGGCTGTGTCTTTACAGCGTGGCAGAGAGCTAAAAGCTGTGCTTTCTCCCCTCTGCAGTCAACGAGGAACATAGAGCTGAGGAATGGGATTGTACAGGGTCATGCCTACACCGTCACAGGAGCTGTGAAGGTAAGAGCTGGGACTTGTTCCTGCCTGGAGATCTTGTACTGATGATCCACTACAGGGCACTTGCACTGCTGTTCCAGTCAGAGAGATTTGAATTAACTTCACACTTAGGGGGGATTACTGATAGCACATAGGTCAAATTCCAAGAGATGGAAGGACTCTGGCACAACAAAAAGAGGGAGGATATCTGAATCCATATTGTTTTCTAATGGAAAATGCAACTTAAATTTACTTTCGTTTTGGGACACTTTAGCAGCAAATATAATATTTCTGGAGATTTTCATTCCATGCTGAGTCTTAAAAAATGTGCTTTTGTGTTTCAAATGCAAGTAGAAGCACTGGCTGAAATTGTGGGATTTGTCATATGATGCAAATCTACATTTGTTCAGCTCAATCACAAGCTGCCAAAAATCACTGTGTGAAAAGTAAATCACTGGTTCAAGAACAGCGTTTCTGCATCTTTTGAAGCTGTTGTACTCATGCAGAACTGCTCCTGGCTGAATATTAATATTGATGATCTGAGAACCAATTTATCACATGGATCAAAAGAAATTAAGGATTTTTACAGCCAGAAGTCAGAACATGGCTTAGCCCAGTAAGCTGTAGTGCACACAGGGAGCGCTAACAGTGAAGAAGGAAACCAAACAATAGCTATGCTGTCAAGCAAGATAGCTACAAAACATTTGAATCTTGGAACCTAAAGTACTTTGGAAAGGAGATGTTGCTTCCCCTAAGCTATTTTCTCCCTTTTCCCTCTCTCTCTGTTGGTTTTCTCTATGAGCTTGGCTTTGGTTCATGTCCCCTTGTGCCATGACATGCTTGCTGAAGGTTGCTTCTCTTTTCCTCTTCCACCATTTTGGTTTCACTGGCAAAAGTTAATTGCTTCTGGCTTAAATCAATGGCAGCAAAAGGAGGAAAGCACCAGGAAAAAACTCCAGCTGTTGCAAACCACAGTATTGTAGATACAGACCCACAGATTCTGTTTATCATCAGCTCTCTGTGCTGACTGCTGGCTTTCACTCCAGGCAGTCTGGTGACCTCATTCCTCAAAGTCCCTGCCTTTGCTGACTCACAGCATCAGATGTGCAGAATTAGGCACTGGAATTTCCCAAGGCTGTTGAATTCATGCAGTGTGACCGGAATGCTGCTGCTTCTCTCAGTGTCAGCTATTCACTATCCCCGGGAAAGCAAAATGGGTGCAGTTTTCTCTCACACATCATTCCTTTGCCATGTAGCAGAAGGCTCTGTTTTTTCACTGCTGGGAAAATGAATCAGAGGTTAAATCTGCTCTCTGAGGTGTAGAGGGAGTTCCATTTTATTACCCTTCTCTCCACTGAATATCACAATTGTGAAAAGCTGTAGCTGAGTTTGGTTTTTCTCTTTCTTTGTTTCTCTTTACAGATCCCCTACAAGAATGGCTGGAAACATATCATCAGGATCTGGAATCCATGGGGCCATGGGGAGTGGAAGGGGCCCTGGAGTGATAAGTAGGGTCTTAAAGCTTTTGTGTCATAGGGAATCAATCTTTTATAAGAACCTCTGCCCCAAACCCATTTTAACAAAACAGATATTTCCAAATCAGTTAATTATAAGCATTATTTCCATCTGTGTAGCAACTGCCCACAGAAATCCAATCCAGGGAAAACGAATGCAGCCTTGCCAGGCTCAAGTGTCCCTTCTTGTCTGTGTGTATGTGTTTTACCCAGTGCATAATTCTACATAAGTCATGGATGAGAGAGTTCTTACTTCCTGGAGTAAGCTCTGACCATTCCTTAGATGCAGTCTGGCTGCTTCTGTTGAATTCTCCTGCAGTAATCACACATCCACCTTCCTCCTCTTTCTTCTGCTCCCATGAGTCTGACTCTGGGAAGAGGCTGGTTAGACGAGTCTGTGGAGCAGGGCAGTATTGAACACAGAGGGACAGAAAAGATCCTTGGTTATTCCAGAGGCAAAGTGCCAGGGAATGGTTTGAACTAATCATCTGGATCATTCATGCAGCCTTGGGGATGCAAGACCATTTTGCTGGATAATCCAGCATCTCTTTCCTAAAGAAAGGAATGATATAGACTACAACGGTGTTTTGTAAATAAATAGATCTTAGTTTTCCTTTTGGAATTGTATCAGTGTTTCCATGATTAGACAGGTGTTCTTAGATTATTTAATAGCATCCCACCCCTCCCTGGTTCTTGGACCGCACACAGGCATGCTGCTGAGAAAGTCAGGCTGGAGTGTTGTGTCAGGAAGGGTTGGTGGGTTGTGTAGACCAGTGTAAGGCAGGGATAACAGCTCTCTGCTCAGGCAGCATCCTCCCATCCTTTTGGTAGGGTGAACTACAATCCTAAGTGTAATTGAAATGTCAGTAGCACGTTCACAGGTAAGCTGCACAGATCAATATATTATTGATTCACGTGCTGTTTATTTATCTTAAACTCTGCAGAAAGTACAATTATCACTTAATTATAAACACTTGACTAGGAAATGTACACTCTACATGTCAGTGTAGTATCAGTGAATCAGAGTGCTCTGGCTTGGTGCCTCAGTAACCTCTCCAGCATGGGGACTGGTGACCAGGAGAGTGTGGAGGATTTCCCACCCCAGGATGGGCAGCTCAGGCACAGCAAAGGCACAGAGTTTGATTTGCTGGCCTGTGAAGGTATCACACACAGTCCTGTTGCCAGTTTGTTCATCCCTCCTGATCCCTCATGACCTGACAGACTAGTTAGAGGAATAGGCCAAAGATGAAAAAATGTGCCTCACATCTTGTTGATTTCTTCTTTTTTGCAGCTCTCCTCAATGGGACCGTGTTGAGCCTAAATACAGAGAAGCCCTCCTCAGAAATAAGGATGATGGAGAATTCTGGTATTTCCCTATTGATTCTTTGTCTACTGTGTTTTCTATTCACCTTCATTACAAAAAAAGTAATTTTGGCAGTTCTCTCTATTCTTGGTGGTGGCTCAAGGCACCCTGTGTTAGCTGTGTGCAAACAGCAAAATGGAGATTGTCCTGACCCTGTGGTTTCAGAGGAAGCAAGACCAGAAAAAACGGAGTTGGCCAAGATTAAGTGACAGGCTGATGAAAAAAAAAGAAAACTGAGAGAAGTAAAAATCCATCCCTCTGAGACCTGGTCATTTTGTCACACTGCCTCTCCTCATAAAGTGTGTGGTTTGAACCTTGGACTAACAGATGCTTGAAGGGGACAGCTGGCTAAGCAGGTCACTGAGCTTGTGCACTTGACTGCTCTGCAGGTGCTTGTGGTTTTTCACTGCCTCTGATTGCTCTCAGATACAGCTTAGCCATGGATAATCTGACTGTCCCTGAGAAAAAGTGATTATTCAGAAAGTGGGCATCTGCCCTGTGGGCCTCTGAGGTAAGCAGGGCAACAGCAGATGGGTCTGAAATACATACTTGAGGCTTGACTGAAGCACGAGTGTGGGACAGAGAACTCTGGAGGTACAAAGGCAAGGGACAGTGGCAGAGGTGTGCTGGAGATTGCAGGGCTCCAGTGAGATTCCCCTGAATGTGCCTTGTGGTTTACCCTGGGGCACTAGGGGCAGTTAGGGCAGCCCAAAATGCATGGAGAGCTGAACTCTTCTGCAAGGTAGCAGCCAGAAGAGCTGCAGGTGCCTGCAGTGTTCTCAGCAATCCCTTTTTAAAGACATGGGGTGAATGTGGGTACCTAAGTGGTGTCCTCACAGAATGAGAGAGGGGCTCAGGCTGGAAGGGACCACAGTGGGTCATCCTGCTCAAGCAGGGTGGTCCCAGAGCACACATGGCACAGGATTGTGGTAAGATGGTTGTGGAATACTGCAGTGAGGAACACTCCACAACCTCTCTGGGCAACATATCCAGTGTGTGGTCAGTTGAGCAGTAAAGAAATTCTTCCTCATATTCAAGAGAAACTTCCTGTATATCAGTTTCTGCCCATTCCCTCTTGTCCTATTGCTTGGCATCATCCGAGGTCCAACCTCTGACCCCTCCCTTCAGATACAGACACTGATGAGGTTCCCTCTCCAGCCTGGGCTGGCCCAGCTCCCTCAGCCTTTCCTCAGAAAGGAGATGCTCCAGTCCCTGGATCATCTCTGTAGCCCTCCACTGGACCAGCTCCAGCAGTTCCTTGTGTCTCTTGTCCTGAGGATCCCAGAACTGGACACAGCACTCCAGACTGGCCTCACCAGGGCTGGGCAGAGGGGCAGGATCACCTCCCTGACCTGTTGGCAATGTTCTTCTGTCTTAAACTGAATGACGAGATTTTCCTCCTTCTCTGCAGGATGTCCTGTGAGAACTTCCAGGAGCAGTTTTCATGGCTGTATATATGTAACAACACCCCAGCATTCCTGGACTTTGGAGATGAGCAGTCCACAGCGTGGTCCCTGACCAGCTACACCGGCCTGTGGAGCCCAGGCCTTCCCACGAGGAGGCACCGCTATTCCTCAGGTGATGGATGCTCACTGCAGTCGCCTCCTCTCCACTGATGCTTACCCTGAAACATTCACTCTGAGCACCCAATTGCAGAAGTATTGATTGCCAGTTGCTAATACCTGCCTTTTCCCATTACAGCACTTATCAGCTAAACAGGCAGAAACAAAGCAACAGCACTGGCTGCTGAGTTAAAACTGAAGGCTTGTGATTTAGGAACCCTGGAGTCTAAGTCAAAATGAGCTTGTATATCTTCTTTTAGCCAATTGCAGTAGGTGTTACTGGGGACCTCATCAGAAAGTCTGTTCTGGCAAATATGCTGCTGATTTTACAGAGCAAAAAGTATTCTGAAATTGAATGGATATGGAATGAAAAAATGGTGCTACAAAGCTCAATTTTTTAAGGTAAAAAGGTCTTTGGGCCAATGAGACCAGTGGTTTTACTGCCTGTGCAAGAACTCTTCTGACATTGTAAGTTCCAATCAGTAGTAGTATATTTTTACATTTTTATTTTATCTCACCTTTTTTTTTTTTTACAGCTGTATCAGTGTTTGGGCTTTGTGTTTTTAATCTAGGATGGTAGTATCTGATCAGTGAAGAGGCTTCTTTTTTTCTCAAATGATGATCCTTGACTTAGCAGCAAACAGACTTTGGCTTACAGATTTCAGGCTCCTGCTCCTAACCTTATCACCAGGTCTCAAGGTGTGATAACAAAGCAATGCCTGTGCTGCTGCACACCACAGTTACTGGGATTGAGCAAGGAGATGTAGGTGCTGAACTGAGAGTGTGTGGGCAGAGCTGTTTTCCTTGGAGCTGTGTTTTCCAGCAGCCCTCTAGTAAAGTCCTGTCCAAGTACAATCATTCTAATTTGCAGCTTTCGAGGCCACACAGGGATCTGGCTTAAGGTCAAGTCTGCTGCCATCTCAGTCCTTTTGGGCACTTCATTGCTTTTTCTTTTTGTTTTTTTTTTTTTTAAACATCAGGAATGCTTCCTGTTAATCAAAGCCTTGGCCAAGAAGCAGCTGTTTCCCTCTGGTGCTCGACATTCTGTGTGTCTATCACAAACATTAGCAGGAGGGAAGGAGACGATGCTTTGCACCCTTTTGTCCTTTTCTATGTGTTTGTCATCTCAAAGCCACAGTCCTTTTCAGCTCAGCCTCTGGCTCTGGTGCCTGATTAAGAGCCACTGCTTTTCTGCTGCTGGGAAAGTGTGCCATGTAGGTGAAGCAGATGTAGGGGGTTGAGAAATCCACACGATTTCTGTGACTTTGCCAGAGATTTCTAAAATGATAAACATGCAATTAGTTTGCCTCCAGATGCCTCAACTTCTAGTGCTAGTGTGGAGACTACAGTGCTCTGTGGCATTTGAAAGGATCTTGGAGCAGTGGCTGCCTGTTCCTCTGGGTCCACACAAGCCACATCTTACACTACTACTGCTGGAACATCTCTGTGCCTACTGTTAACCTACTAACACTTTCTCAGCAGGTGCAGCTTCAACAAACCCTCAGTATTTTTTCAAAGTGCTGGATCACGACCCAAATACCTATAATGTAACAATTTCACTCATGCAAAAACACCCTGAGCGTATGCAGGAGGAAAAAAACCTGAAGATTGGCTTTTTCATCACCACGGTAAGCATGGCAATCAGATATCATGTAGGCACTGTTGTTCTCTGTGTGGTTTATTTTACTGAATTGCCTTTTGGTCTGTTACAAAGTCAGTATGTGGTGTGAATTTCTGGGTGCCTTCTATTGTAGAAACTCAGAGTAAAAATAGAGTTAAGCAGGCTTGATTTCTTTTATTCATGTCTTAAGGAACAAAAGTGGCACTTTTAGTTCTGCAGCATCCCAGAATAGCCCTGGGAAGATCAGGGAGTCCCCGGGTTAGATTATGTGCCAGGGCAATGTCCTCTGTAGCAGCAGTACTGGTGACATGCCGTGCTGGCTGGGCACAAGGCATGACAGCCAGCACTAGCCACAGCCCTCGAGCAGCATTCCAGGTATAGTGGGGAAGCAGATGGTCTCTCGTTCCCCAGAGTGGGCCTGTCTTACTCATCCTCCTGTTTTCTATCTGAAAAGCCGTGTAGAAACATTTACAAAACACGTGAGAGCCTTTGCTCGAGACCAGTGTAGAGGAAATCCACTCAGATACCTCCACTACAGTTTCTCTGGGTTTTTTTCTTGGTGTCTGTCCAGAGAGGTGCCTTTTCAAGCTGTTCTCAGAGCATTACTAGGCTTACTGAAAGCACAATTACTAGTGTGGATGGATGCTAATCTTTCTCAAAGTATTTTTGTTGTTGGCTGATGACTGTGGCAGGCTATTGTTCTAATCCCAAAGACTAAAATGGAAACAGGGATTGATATAACCCTAATTTCTCCTCATTCTCCTCATTACTGGAGAGTTTTGCCCTAGACCTAGACTTTAAATAATTGATGCCATAAGTTTAACAGCTCCTCATAAAGGAAGAGCATGGCTTTGTAGCTCATAAAAAAGTGTGTCTGAGAAATAAAAAATATCATTAAAAGGGCATCCCTCCAGCAAGTGGAGCTCCTCGCTATCCCTGTGGGAGGATATCCTTGGTCCTGTGCAGGTATCAAGCCTGCAGGACTCCATCAGGCCAGCTCTGCCACTCAGAAAGAGTTGCTCCTGGTAAATGGGGAATTGCTCCTTTCAGCATTCCCAAAAATCAGGCAGCAGACTAGGAGACAGATTTTCTCTATTCTTGCTTTATATTTAAACTTTTTCTTTCCCTCCTGTTGATACTCAGGTGTGTTTTCTCTCTCTTGGTATGAGATGGATCAAGGATGGATGAAGCCCAGTGATTTTGTCAGGCCTGGATGGCGTGGCCTCTGTGTGCTGTCAGCCCATAGCTCGGCTCAGGTCACTTGAATTTCTGACCTTGTGAGTGACCTCCTACACAGGAGCTGAAGGGGAACAGAGGAGGCACAGGACACAGAACACAAGAGGCACCAGGATTACTGTGGAGCACCTGGGCAGTGAGGGCGAGGGAACAGTTTTGCTGCTCTGTCACACCATAGCTTTTATTAATATAAATATATTGGTGCATATTCACACAGAGGATTATACAGAAGACATTCCCTCGTAGACACACACGAAGTATTTTAATATGAGAGCTGCTCTACCAGCTCCTCACAGCCAGCCTGGTGTCCTGTCCTGGTAGCAGCAAAAGCCAAGTCCAGGAGCTAAAACCAGAGTGGGTGTGAGTGCCATTCCCTCAGTTTGTTTCCCAGTATTCAGCCTCAGTGCCTGAGGGCAGTCAGAGCATCTTTGGATAAAAGATTACAAGGGTTTTTGTAACCCCTTTGTACAAGGAGAGTGCAGTGGGCAAGATTCATGTGGCTTCACCCTTCCTCCCTGATCTGCTTTCTCTGCCATGATTCATTAGCTGCACCTTCCCTTGTTCCTTACCTTCTGAGACGCATCCAATTGTTGCTGTGAAATCAAAGGAGTACTATCCCCTGGCAGGATGAGAGGAGAATGCAGTGCAGGCAAGGATGCAAACCAGAATGGACATATCTGATAGCTCTAGGAAGCCTTTGATTAAATATAGACGTGGAGCACTAATACATGGCTGTGAGGGAAGTTTAATGTTGTGTGATAGAGCTGAGAAATGTATAGAGGCTGATTCTTATCTCACACCGGTTTTGATTCCATTGAGATATTAATCTGCTTCTGCTTTTTACCAGAAGGAATGTAGAATAAGGCTCAAAAGTGGGGAAAAAAAGTATTACAGCATTTATTTCTTTGCAACACTGCCCATTTCTATCTGCTCAAGATCTGACCCATAATACTTGGCAGTCTGTGTACCTCCCAGCTGTCTGTATCACTAGTCATCCTATTTTTTTTTCCTTCCAAAATAGCAGTTTTATGTTCTTGTCTCCCAAAGGCATGGCTCATAAATAACTCTGCCACGCTGTATAACCATTCTAAATGGAATTTATACACGCTGATATATTTTGGGGAATATGTTAAGGAAGGGTTTTTTATTATGCTATCTTTACATGTCATCATAGTAATAGCTGTTGCATTATATTTGTTTCATCTCAGCAAAAAAATACTGGAATAACAGATGCAAAATCAGAACACTGATTTTTGTGACACTTGCTGGTTTGGATTGGGATTTTTGAAGCATTGGCATCTGTGTGTCATGCTTAGAGGGCTCTCTGACCTCTTCTAGTCACAGAAGATCTCAGGGAATTTTTTTTTTAGTAGTAGTATTCATCCTTGATTCCTTTGTGAACTCCAGTGTTAATTGAAGTTCTCTTCAAACCTCCTTACATTCATTTTGGCTTCTGTTTCTTTCAGTTTCTCCACCTTTGAGCAATTATGCTGTGTCCTTGAAAGAAGTTTGTCCCCTGGATGGGCTTTTCAGGCCACTGGGGAGGTGGAGGTGTGCTAGATGCAGTGTGTGCTCAGAGAGGAGTGGAATGGAAGGCTGCTGTGAGTGTGCTTCCTGATTTACTTCGGTTCCTAGCAGGAGCATAGCCAGCTGCATTTTTCTTCCAGGGGAATTCCAGAGTTCTGAAGAAAATCTTTCTCCGGACTCGAGATGTGACCAGCTACTTTATCCTGAGCCCAGGGACCTACGCCGTTGTTCCTGCTGCAGCAGAGGACCAAGAATTCGAATTTCTCTTACGAATTTTCATAAAGAATCAAGACTACAATGAGTAAGATGACATTCTCTCCTTAAAGGCCCCAGACTCACTGTGTGCCTGGAATTAGCTACTTAATGTCAAGATAACTGATGTGGTAATTTGCTTTTAATGCATTCTTGGAGGGTGAAGAAGGCACAGAGGAGTGTGAAGCACCTGTTGAGGGGGGGATCAGGTGTACAGCCAGCTGCACAAGGTTGGCCACTGCAGAGCAGGGCAGGAGCTCATCTGCAGCCACCAAGCTCAGCTTTGGTACAAAGAACCACACAGGGGAGCAATAATTGTGAGATTTGTCCTCTACCCCTGATTGTGGGGTCATTTCTCTTGGCTGAAAGGAGGATTGGGAGTTTTTCCTAATTCTTAACAGCTGTTTGGTAGTTTCTTATGTTCTGCTGGCTCGATGCCACATGGATCACATCCCATTCTGCTTGGAGCGAGACCTGGAGAAGCCAAGAGCAGTGAAAGGCCTTGATCCTTTCACTCAGCCATCTCATAGGCAGGGCTCCCTGTAGGCATGAGAGCAGCCTTGAAGATAAGTTTAATGGAAAAATGGTATCTGAGTTCGTGGAAAGGCAGCTATTACCACACACACACACACTTTCACATTACTATGTGAGTATTTGGGTGTGGCTTACTCTAGGTGAGCAAGCTTTGAGTCCCAGCGTTCAGCCTCACCAAATGACCTGCAAGCATCACCTCTGCAGTGCCTTCCCTTCAGCAAGCTTCAGAGTGGATGTGATTGCAGCTCTTACCTCACTGGCCCATATCTTAATAATGAGATTGCTTTCCAGGCTTTGGCCTCTGACAAAAATAGCCCAGAACCAACTCCTGAGTTACGGAAAGCAAACACAAGGAGTCTGTGCTGTGGGCTGGGCTGCCTTCAGTGGGGTGAGTCATGTGTGAGACAGCTCAGCCCTGGAAGTGAGCTTTTCATGGGCTAGGCCAAGTGTGGAGATGACCTTCCAGTGGGTCTTTGCAGCACTTGTCTATGCAGAGGTTATAAAAATAGAACCTGGCTTGTTTAATTTCTCTACTGAAAGCAAAACTCAAGTACTGAATGCAGCAGCTAAGCATGTTTTAGGAATGGTGACCCTAGCCCAGTTTCAGGCAGTCTGCAGGCATTTAGATGCTGCCTTTTAATAGCCCAGATGCTGTTTTTATTCCTGACTATTAAGCTGGGCAAAGAGAAAGGAGGTGAAAAGTTTCTGTGGCTCAAGGCAGGGCAGCCCTGTGTTCTGCATGGTGAGGTTGGTCCTGGCATGCTCAGAGTGAGCCAAGCCACCCTTTCTCTGCTGCTGGTGCCAAAAGAGCTGGCTTGGGGAAGGCATGGCCCCAGAGCAGCTGGACACACAGACCTGTGTCTGTTTGCATAGAGAGACCCAGGAGTGGTGCAGCAGCCTTGTCTGAATGGGGCCAGGCTGGGCCATGGGTGCTGTAGGACCATGGGCTGGGTGAGTGCTGCTGCTGGTGGTGCCTGCCTTCCAGCACGGCTGCAAATCAATGCTCTGGAAAGGCCTCCTTTCTCCCAGTTTGATTTTGTAACTCTCTTCTAGGAACTCAAACTTCCTGACCAGCCCAGGGCTGCCAATGGTAAGAGTCTGAAAAGTGGTGTAGATCCTGGTGGTGGTGAATGGTTCCCAGTGAGCTGACTGTTTGGTAGTCACCTCTACTGACTCCTCTTCATCTGCTCTTTTCTCCCTTCACCACCCACTGCTGTCTCAGAGCTTAACTGGTACCCTGCAACCTTGTTGGGAGGGCAGGACACCTCTCTGGAGAGATGGGAGTGACAACAAAGCCTTTCTCTACTCATATGTCTTTTTCATAGCCTGATTTTTGAGGAAACGGGTCTTATACAGTCCCTCTGTCAGCTTGTCCGTCTGTCCTTTCCACCTCACCATCTTTAGCACTTTGACAAACCAAATACAGCAGGGGAGAGAACACTTAAAAGATTTTAATTTCTTTCAATGTCTGTAAAAAGGGGATATATCTATGGAAGAGAGGGGGGGAAACAATTCTTGTGAGTGAGATTGGACATGCTTTCCCCATGAGAATGATGTAATTCAAGTGCTTGTACCCTATAATGTACAGGAGTCCATAGGGAGGAGACTCAAATCAGATTCTGTTGATTTTCATCAGGATATCATCAGAGACAGAGACATAAAGCAAACTGCACTTTGAAACTGGCTGCATCTCTCCTTCAGCCCACATGTTTGCTTCTCCAGCCCAGCTACCACGGGTTCTTGACTTCTTGCTGTGAGCTGTGCACACTGCCAGGGCTGCTCCAGTCCCTGCTGGTCCCACCAACAAAACCCAGCCACTGGGAGGCTGCTATTTACAGCCTTCAAAGACACAGACCTTCCAAGCCAGAGGTGTGATGCTGCTTCAGGAGAAGAGAAAACTGAGCCCTTTCCCTGTGATTCATTTTCCAGCATGCAATTAAGCCCCATTAGAGGGGTAGTGTAAATGGTGACTTTTTATCTCTTTCCACTGATAAGCTGTCAGTTTACCTGGCTGTTGTCCTTAGCCAATGTTTTGACTTTGATGAATTGTGGTACCCACAGTTTCTGCTCCTATTCAGGTATTTGGGCTTCTTTGGTATGAAGGATCTCACACAGAGATGAAGGCATTGGGTCTTGGGCTTAGATTGTTTTCTGAAAACTTTATAATGTTGAGGATAATTTGTCTTAGTGCCTGGAGGATCTTTTCACTGGAAGGTTGAAAAAAATCACTTAACCATTGAATTGCAATTGATCAGGTATAGTCCAAGCTTATCTTTGGGGTTGACAAGGTACAAGAGAGTGAAAAGTCAATTCATGCTTTATTTTCTTGGTTCACATGAATCTTCACATGCCCTGAGCAGTGATCCTAACCAAAGTCCACAAGTAAGGATCAGGCCTTTTATCTCTATACTCGTGTATTGACTTGCTGAATTCCACCCTGGATGTGTTCTGTCATCTTCCTTAAGCCCTGAACTGCTCCTTCCTGGTTGTACTAGCTGTGCACATCCAAAATATGCTTCTTTTGGGGGTGTGAAAACTGCACCCTGTGCTGTACATTCCTTGCCCCTGAAATTAAAGTGCTATTTGGATATGCAGACTTTTGCCTCCTATTTTTAGCTGAATTATTTATGTCTGCTCTTTGTTTTTGATTCAGGATGTACCAAGACAGAACCAGGACAGCTCCTATGAGGCCCTTTTCCTAAGATACGCTAAGCAGGTACCCTCTCTAAAACATATTGTTGAAAAAAAAAAAAAAAACAACAAACCCAAAACCACAGGTGGACTTGCAAAAAGAAAAACTGATCTATGATGTTGATACAAATCCACTTAGATTTTTTTTTAAATGTTGCTCCATCCTCAAGTGGATATCCTGAAAATGATTGACCTGCCAAAATCCCCCCCAAAAATGGGACATTCAGCTGGGATAGATTGTCTAGTGCCATATATCAGTGGAATATTGGAGATTTATAGTTGTGCTGGTGATGGGCTTGCATGTGTACTTTTCTTTTTCTCTTTTTTTTTTTTTTTTTTTTTTTTGCTTTGGCTTGGTTTGGTTTGTTTATTTGCTGAAAGCAATTAGAAAGCCTTGGGTAGTCCCCCCCTCTCATCAGCCTCATTTTCCATTTGCCTTCTCAGCACTTGGAAAGCAGACATCAGTCAGTATTTGAGTAATTGATTCCTGCTCTCTCAGAGCCAAACTCTGTGTTCACAGGAGATGCTTTTAATGGTTTAATAAACTGTTATAAAGAACTCCTTGACTTAGTCAAGAGGAAAAAAATCACTGTCAAAAGTCTCTGCACAATGAACCTCTTGCACTTAATGGTTATATCAATGTGTGAAGGTGAAAATGAGCAGGGGCTGCCACGCTGGGTGCCCTGTGGGTGTCTCGGGAGAGAGGCAGCCAGGATTGGGGATGGGCAGCAGTGCCTGTGCTCCCAGCCCACTCACACAGCTGCCTGCTGTGCTGCCCATCCACAGCTCCCCATCCCTGCAGGACAAACCCCATGGTGATGGCAGTGCCTGGAGGGCCTTGTTATGCTCCAGAAGGGATGCTGCTGCTCCTTTGATACATAAACAGAGGTTCTTGGTTGCCACAGTGCCTGAGAAAAAAATCTTTTGGGCAAAAGTGACACAGGAGAAAACTTTATGCTCACAGACTTCTCTCTCTCTGTGTTTTGTTTTGCATTAGGACTCAACTATTGATGCCTTGCAGCTGCAACAACTCCTTAATGAAGTGATCCTGAAAGGTAAAGGTTTTACAGTCCAGATAATGTTTTTGGTGCTTCCCTATCCTTAGACTAGAGTAAATTAGACATAGGATTTAATGGTGTCCTGATGGTCCTTGAAAAATCTTCATTGTGGCTTACTACATTGTGGGATCAGAGCATGAGAGGGGCATGGCTGGAGGGCTGGAGCCAACTCAGCCATGCAAAAGGCTCAAAGGGCTCTTAAGACTTCCTAAATCAGCATAAGTGGCCTTTCAGTGGTCACTGTCGTTTCCTTTATCCTTATTTCAAGAGGAAGGGTTTCCATCTTTGGGCAGGGACTGTGCAGAGTGAGCCCAAACAGGGCACCTGTCCTTGGGGAAGGTAGAGATGTCTGAGATGTGCAGATTCCCTGTTTGGCACAGAGCCCTTGCTGTTGTTTGAGAACCTGAACCAGAGCTGGGGCTTTTCAACTGTGTGAGCCTTCAGCCTGGTGTTCTCCTTCCCTCAGAACAGTGTCCTGATGCCTGTCACAGCCCTTGCTCTTGCTAATTCCTTCTGTTTTGTCAATCCTTACAGATGAAATGACCAGCGTGGGAGGGACATTCAGCTTTGATTCATGCAGAGGCATTTTGGCTCTGATGGATGTATCCTTTCAGCAGAAGCAATAAACTTCCCTGGTGCTGCCCATCCTTGCCTTGAGTTATGGCTGGGCTGAGCATCCCAGTGTGAGAACCTGCAAGTAAATATTAGCCCCAGTCCCCAATAAATAACTGTCCCATAGTCCATGCACGACTTTGCTGTGCATGCCCTGGCTCTGGGGTGTCTGCTGGAAGGTGAGGATCAACCTTCTGCTAGCAGCTGACTCTTTGCTCTCGTTTTGACCTCCCTGGGCCTTGGCTAAGCTCCACCCTTGGGTAGGGGTCTCAGGCAGAGCTGAGACAAGGAGGCAGGACAGAGTTTAGGCATAGCTCAGCTGTTCTGTGGTGCTTGCACCATGCCAGCCTGGGGTGGCTGCCAGCAATGCTGGTGTCAGGGGCAGAAGCACTGCTGCATCTCCAGGCACTTGCCTGGCAGGCCATCCCAGTGTTTGTTTCCAGTGTATTTTTCCTATTTAGCTGAATCACTCAAGTCTTTTTACTGTTAACAAGACAACACAATAAATACATTTATGGCCATTGTAGAACAAGAGGGCTCCTTGATGAAAACATACATCTCCCTTGTGTGTTTCTTCCCCCTTGCTTGCTCATTGTCTCTTTTCCTCCATGCCTTGAAAAAACTTTGAGACATTCTCAGAACTTTAAAGACTGCCAGAGAATGAATAAAAATGACCAGAAGTCCCTTTCTCTTTCCAGCTTTCAACATCTAGCCACTGAAAGAGACTTTTCCTCCTTTGCAAAGCCTATCCTGGGATAAGTGGGTGCTGTGAATGCACGGCACGTGCAAAGAGCTGACAAAGCCTCTGCTCTGCTATAATTCAGGAGGATTTTTAATTCTGGCTTGCAGATAACCCATGTACAGTGTGACCTATCCTGGCCTGCAAAGCCAGGATCAGCTTTTTTCACTCAGGTTCCATGGCAGTGGCACTGGTCTGCTTGTATTTCACTGGTGATGAGTTTTGCTTTTGGGGAGGTTTCCCCATCCAGCATTAGGGTGGATGCTGCATAGAAGGGAGCAGGGCACTGACACTGCCCTTCAATGCCTTCCTGGGGGCTGTCTGCCTCAAAGGCTGCTGCTGCCATCCAACAGAAGGCATCAGCATCATCTCCTCCTGTTCTTGGCTCCTCAGTGCCGGTTCTCCTGGAGGATCCAGGAAGATCAGATCCTGTGGTGCCCCGTGCAGAGGGACATGTTCATTCACAGGGATGTCCATGCTCCAGGGCTAAAAGTCACTACAGCTTCCCCTGTGGTTAAATGCACCTTACAAATAGAAACCTTTTGTGTTTTGTGAGCACAGGCATGAGTGACTGTACAATGTGACAAAGAAGGTGGAGTTAAACAGGACTGAGAGCAGGAAAACTCTCGGCTTTCTCAACACAGAGTAACAGACAGAGGAGGCTGCACCTTCTGTATTTAGTTCTTGGCAGCAAAGACAGCCAGGTTAACTCTCATTAAGTGCTCGTTTCTTAACTAAATGCACAGCTCAACTCGAATGGAAGACTCACCCTGCAGGAGTTTGGGACCCTCTGGCGATGTCTCACAAAGTACATGGTACGGGCTGGGGGGTGGCTCTCTCTTGGCTGTGGGTCCTGTGGGTTATGTGGATACTGTGGATTCTGTACCCCAGGGCTTTCCAGCAGTGGGGAGCAGATGCTCCGTGCTCTCAAAGCTCTGCAGGAGGAAGCCTTGCAGAGATTGCTTGCTTAGCAGGTCAGAGTTCCCTCCTGTCACGCAAGGCAGGCAGCCGTGTGTGTAAAGTGCTCCAAATGAGCAGCCCAGGCTTTGCCAGCACAGAAAACATCGAGGGGAAAGGTAGGAAGGCCAATTAGGCTCAGAATCTGATGGAAATCTCCATGTCTATGCCACCACTGCCAATTTTTTTTTTTTTTTGTGTGTGAAATGCTTTCTAAGCTGAAATGACTTCTTGAACAGAGTCATCTGAAAAATGTCATTTCCACATTGCTGCAATTTCTAGTCGAAATGTATAGGGTCTGATGAAAACTTCTCTGGGAGAAATGTTTCTGCTCCAGGATAGGCACTGGAAGCAGTGACATGGTATTTAGGGTACCACCTAAATTCTTCAGGGCATGCATGGCAGCTTCTCTTTGTCAGGTCCTTCTCCCTCAGTCTTGGTGCAGGACAGGAGGGTTTCTTTAAGGCTCAGGTTTGGGTGGGCTCTGACTTGTTCCAGCCCTCTTGAGATGGTCTGAGACCACCTAGTTCCCCATCTAGATATGGTGCTCTTCCCACTGACAGCATCTCAAATGTGGCTTGTGGTGTGTTAGGAAAGCAAAAAGTCTTCTGCCCACCCCAAACTGTGGAATTTCTTACACAGTAACATTCTGTCAGAGCCTTCTGAAAATGGGTCTCCCTTGTCACGGCCGCCCCATCTCACCTGCTGAGCTTCTTTGCAGTATATTTATTTACTAAGGGAGGAGAACATACATAACTGGTTGTAGTAGTAAATGTGGGAAATGGTGGTAAGAGCTTGAAATCTGCCTTTGCACTGTATTTTAGGATATCTTCAGCAAGGAAGACAGAAACCGTTCTGGATTTCTTGATGTTGCTGAGCTGAAGAATGCGATTCAGGCAGCAGGTACGCCCAGAGGTGCTGAGCAGCTCCCCTTGCTGTTCCTGTGGCAGTGAAGGAAAGGATGAAAAAGAAAGAGGAAAGAAAAGGGACTTTTAGGGAGAATTTCATGGAGGATTTAATGGAGATGCCAGTTAGATCACAGCTCTGCTGAGAGGTCTGTGCTGGGGAGATGCAGAGAAGTGCAGCACTGGCCAGACTAGTTTATAGGTCATGGATGGAACATCCAGCAGGGGAAAGCAGAAAGGAAGAGTGAATTCTTGCACTTGCCTCAGTTCCTGCAGTTTCTTTCCAGGGCAGCGACTAAGTCTAGAAGGGAAAGCTGCACCGACAGGCATTTATTTAGTTTGCACTGACCTCTGTTGGCTACTGAGTGCTGAAACTCTCAGTGAGTGCACACGAGTGAAGCATTTTAGCTGAGTCGTCTCAACGGGGACTTCGTCTGTGAAGTACATCTCTGGCACAGCGATCCCCTTTTAATTGTGCAGTCGAGAAGCTCCCATTTGGCTGCCTGGAGCTCGGAGGGGTGCTGTACCAGGAGGAAGCTGGTGCAGGATTGCTATCCCTGGAAGCCATCAGCTTGGGGGGGATGCATGAATAATTTTTTTTTGCTGCTGGAAGCTGGACAAATCATCAGCATCTGTCTGAGAAGCGCAGCACTGATGTGCCAAATGTCAAAGGAGAAGTTGCCAGGGCCGTTCTGTGAGAAAGATGCTAGAGTGTAAAACTGGGAGGAAATTTGTAGATGGAAAAATCCTGTCAGCCAAAACAATGCAGCTGTTTGAAGGCATAAAAAGACACTGTTAAGTGGCAAATTCAGCACATGTTTGGCTACAAGTAGTTCTGAGTGGGGAAGAAAATTACAAGCTCGTTCTTGCTGCCCTCTGAGCCAGACATCTGCATTTGAATCTGGCTTGGCAATGGGATGATCCCTGTCCTGGCTTTGGAGCAGGAACCCCAGAAGGTGTTTGGGAGCTTGGTGCTACCCCTGGGAATGGAATTAATATATCTAAATCCAGCTCCTAGACAGCTGTTCCCTGAAGTGTTTAGTGCTTTTCCCAACGAAACACTGCAGTGTGTGCTTAATTTTCAGTTTTCCTAATGCTTCCAAGAATAATAATGGATCAGAGTAAAGCAGGCCAGCTGCATTAACAACAGCACTGCCCTGAAATGCAGCAGCATTGGCTTGATGTATTTACAAACTCCTCTTTGGCAACAGTAAATGATTCAAAATAATTTTTATAAATAGGGAAACATCAAGTCAGTAATTAAGAGTTTGGCTAAAACCAGAGGGAGGAATCCAGCAGATAAAAGGCTTGGGGAGCAGTCATACAAATCAGCCAAAAAGTCTTGGGAACAGAGAGGACTGACCTTTCAGACCCCCTTGATGAGGTTAATTGAGAGACATTGCCAAGTAAGCAGATTTCAGAGCAGGTGTATTCCAGACTGACCAGCCCAAATTGTTGGTGTTTTACTAGTGTAAGACTTGACTGTAGCATTCCATAAGCAATATTTGCTGGAATCCACTCTCTGGAGAGAACTTGATTGAATTCCCACTGTCTTCAAAAGGTTACAAATAGAATTTCTTGCTCACTGCTACAGTGGTTTAAAACCAGACTAAAAGAAGGCATTTCATTAATTAGATTTATTTTTAATTACTATCTTTATCTCCTTTGAAAAGAATATAAAATCATGTTTACCTTAATTTGAAGTGTATCTTAAGCCCAAATGTTTTTCCATTCTTTAATTATTCAGCACTGTGTACCTGCTTCCTGCTGGAGACCTCCAACTAGGCTCATGCAACCAGAGTTTGTCAATGGTGGTACTAAACCACTTCCACCACTTCTCTCTCTCCCTACACAGGTGTGGAGAAGCCATTTCTTTTATTTCTGCTTTTTCAACTAATTTAGCTCCATGATGAATTCATTTAAAACTGAAAAGTTTAGAGCTGGTTGAAAAAGCAGGAAAGTTACTTCACATTCAGCTGAGCTACTAAAACCTGGAGTGAGCAAATGAGACTTTTCTGAAGTCTCAGAGAAGGCATTAAACCAAAGCTATCAGTCCAGCTCACTGCAGAAAATTTCCCTTTTGTTTTGCAAATCAGCTTTTAGTGCAAAATATATTTAAATCATTCCTCTTATATAGCCAGCACATTTAGGGTAGTTTTATTTAACTAATAAAAGAATCATTCTAAAAAGCAATTTTTGTTCATTCAATTGAATACCAATTTCCATCCAAACAGAGTGCGACACAAATATTGAATAATCAGCTAATAAAAAAGAAATGCACCCTTCACCATTTTCTAATAGAAGAGAAAATGTAAAAATTAAGAATCCCAGGCATGCTATGCAGCATAATAGCCTGAGCATGCAGCATCTGCCTCTTTAGCAGAAAGAGCCGGTGATATTGTCAATGCCACGCTCAGACTTTTACAGTTATGAGCCAAAGAAAATCACCCTTTCTTACAGAAAATAAAAGCTAAAAAGGCAAAGCAAGATAACACTAGTTTAACTAGCTCAGTGCTTGCAGCTTGCTGACTTAAGCCACAATGGGAGTCAGTGAGTAAGGCGACTTTGGTTTTCCACTACCCTACCCCGACTCTTAGGCACAAAGTAGGGAAAAGGCTGTCCAGGAATGCAGGACAGGGCAGGGGGGCTGAGGGTGTCCCCAGCTGGCTGGCAGGGTGCAGGAGGCCATCAGAGCCGGTGCTTTTCCAGTGTGCTTTCCCTCGGCAGGCCTGCCCATGGACGCGCAGCTGCTGCGCCTGCTGATGCTCCGCTACGGAGATGCCCAGGGCAGGGTTGGCTTCTGCGACTTCGTGTGCTGCATGCTGCGCCTCGACACCATGAGCCGTGAGTGCCAGCTCCCAGAGGGGCCCCTGGCAGCAGGACAGCCTGCAAAGCCAGGCTGAGAGCAGCCAGGGCACCGGGGACGCCACGGGCGGGGTAACGATGAGTGCCTGAGAGCAGAGCTCGTGCTAGGGAAATGTAGCCACAAACGCCGGAGGTTTATGTCCAAAACGGAGACAGAGGAGTCCTTTTACTTTATTCTAATAAAGGGAGAGGCCATGGGGCATTCCCCTGAGATCTCTCAAATTTTTAGAGGATGCAGCCTCCCTTTTATCCTATTTTCCCTCTCTCTTTCCCTGTTGACCGAGGTACTTGAGAGGTACGGACTTCCCAGAACACCTGATACCTGAGATTCCCCTCTAATGTATAACCCTCCCTTTTAATTTTTAATTCTTACAGAATTCATGGTTTTCCCCAATTGCTTCTTTCACCTTTCAATATCCAATTTCATTTATCAGCAAACCTACAGTTTGTTTGTAAAGGCAAATATCTCTTTTTCCATTCATCAGTCAGTGGAATCCTTCCTGTTGTTTCTTTTATTTCTCAGCGCTAGTCTTATCTACCAGCAGATCCACAGCTTGTTTGTAAAGACAAATCCATCATTCCTCTCACTTGGCAGTGACTCACCTGCCCCAAGTCCAGGCAGGGCCCAGGCAGTTCCTTGGGCAGCCTGTTTGCCAGGAGCTGGATTTATCTCCTGTCCACTGGAGCAACTGGCTGCTAGAGAGCAGTTTAGTGTTCAGTAAAGTTCTCTCAGTTTTTTGGTAAGGAGAAAGTCCAGTATCCTCTGTGAATAAACAAACCCATTCCCTGTGCTCCATCCAGCTATTATCTGGCACTTGCAACGAGGGACTGTCTGTAAATGAGTTTTTGCCTGAATGGAAATGAAATTCTGTTTCACAAAATCGTAATTTTTGCTACTCTAATAAGAAGCATTTTGACTGGAGATATTGGTAGTTAAACAAAGTCAGCAACCGTGACCCCAGTGCTAGAACATCACTACAGCAATTTATTTCATCTTTAGAATGAGCTGGGTGTCAACAGCGCATGGAAACGAGCATTCATTTTCTCCCATGTGTTTTTAGCACTGATGTTTAATGGGCCAATAGTGGTCAGCAGATCTGCTTGGATGGCACTGCCTAAAATCCCATTTCAAGGGAGTACAGCAGAAGCAGTTCTGAAAATGTTGTAAAATCAGTGTGTCCTGATTTTAACGCTTTCATTTTAAAAAAAAGCTTGTAAACACCCATTTTTTGTGATTATACAAGTCACTTGCTGTAGATGAAAGTTTTTATGCCTAAATTAGTGCCATAGTATTTTTTTTTTCATTTAGAAAAGATCCTTTTACATTTTAAGTGCCAATGTAAAGACAAATTCTTTGCATTCATGTGGAAAGGAGTCTCTAAAAGTCTCATTGCTGTCTGTAATGAGAATCTTAAAATGCTCTCCACTCTTTCAGTTATCACTTTACAGAGGGTTTAGTGTGGAATACATTTCTCAAACTTTTTAGATCATTGTGAATAAGTTTGTTACAGGAGAAGATAAGGGTGCCAAGTGGGAATAAAAGTCAGTCAACCTTTATGATGATGTGAGTGCAGCAGGGAAGATAAAATCTGTCCCATTAAATCATTACTCATCCTTTCAAGATAGCCAGAGATGAGACCCAAACCAAAAGCAGCAGATTCTTTGCAAATTCTATTTAACTGGAGTTAATGAAGCAGTAAAGAGGCACTTACCTCTGCCCAGAGGAGGTAATTTCAGCGCTGCCACTTTTTCCTGAAAAGGCAGCTGGGTGCAAGCCCAGTCCTGCAAATACAGCCTTGTCAAGGGGCTGGGCACAGCATGAGGTTTTCCTTGTGCCTTTCTTCAGAGCACTGTAGGCTGGTTGTGCCACCTTTCCTCCCTGCTCTGGGCCAGACAGGTGGCTCTGGTGGCCTCCTAAGGGGCAGATGAGCAAGGAGCCCTGGTGCCCTGTTCCTACCCTCTCCCAGCAGCCTTTTTGCTAAGGCTGGGTAGGTTTCAAAACATCTGGAATCTAACAAAGTCTTTTCCATTCAAGATAGGAAATTCCAGGCTCCCGGAGAAGTGTATCATTCAAGGATAGACGGACTTAAATTTTTTTCAACTTTTTATTACTGTTTATAACAGCACATTTCTAGGAGAAAAGTAATTTCAAAATAAATAAAACCCCTCAAAATACTGTGTTTTGCGTTTATCCAAACATTTGGATTTGAAGACTTCTCCTAGACATGCTGCAGTATAAATATGCACATAGAATAACAATATTTGAATGATTTAAATTTTCTGATGGCAAAGTGTTCTGTCAAAAAAAAAACTTTCAGCAATGTTAATTTCAAACTCTAGCTGAATAACAGCAGCATCTGCATTTATATTCCCTGCAAAAAGCTTGCAAGGCATACTAATGACTTCAAGAGAATCACTTTCTTTAGGGCACACTGTGATCACTCACTGCCAGGGAGGATGGAAAAGGACCAGCAGAAAGTTTCCCTGTGGGAAGATGTGTTTCATTAGTTCACCGTCCTCCTGTCAGTCTTCAGGCAGCAAAACAATTGAAACAAATTATGAGAGGAGATGAAAGCAGCCACATTGAGCACCGCCTGTCCCTACAATTCTGCCAAATTCTGGCCCCAAAATTGGGATGCCTTCCCAGGCTGTGATCCGAGGGCCAAGGCAGAAGGGGTACCCAGCACAGAAATGAGATGTGGCCAGGCAGGACACCTGAGCCAGGTAGAGCATCCCAGCACAGGGATTACAGCTCTGCTCCTCAGCTGCCACAGCCTTGTGTCTGCATTGCATTCTTGATTCTTTGTCATGAAGTAAGTTTTGGGTTTTTTTTTTTGTTCTGCCCCTAGATGCATTCCAAAACTTAGCAGAGGGTGGATCACAAATTTTGATGACGGCAATGGAGGTAAGAATGCTCCTTCCTTCTCTTCACTCCAGCTCCAAAGTGGGACCACATTTTAGCAGAACGGTGAAGTTAAGTTGCTAAACTTTTGTCCTAGCAAATAGCGGTGGAGGTTTTGCCTGGCTGGAAGCACATCCTTTGTGGGAGGTGTTTCCCTGGGGTTCCCTGGCCCCACTGGTGCACAGCTCAGTGGCCATCCCTGGCCAAGGCATGGAGTCTTCCCTTGCTGACACCAGCCAGTTATTGCTGGAAACATTGCTCAAAGTGACTTTGAGAAAGTGACAAAAAAAAAAAAAAAAAAAAAATCCGTGCCCTGATTTCTTACTGCCCCTTCTGTTAGTCCTGAATTGCAAAACATCTTGGTTTTAAGAAAGAAACAGCAGACAAATGCTTGCTGCTGCTGTTTGTCTTAAAAGCACAGCCTGAAGGATAGCTCACTGAATGGGGATACATCAGCCTTTTTATCAGCTAGTCTGAAGCAAAAATCCTGCTGTGCTCCATAGTGATATGCCTGAGTACTGCATTTTATCAGTCTGGGGACTGTTATTTGACAACCCAGTGTTTAAAAAGATTTTTTTTAAAAGCCTTTTACAATCTCACCAGCTCCCATTTACACTCTGTGGTTAGTGCAGAGCCTCATTGTTCATTAAATCTGTTTTTAGCAAGGGCAGAGCACAGTTTGCAAGCAGAGGACCTGAACCGCTTTTATAGGGTGGTCTGTAGGACAGCCAGGCTCCCAGAATTTGCTCTCTCTTCCACTTGCAATCAGGCAGGTGCCACCCTTCCCCAGAAATTGCTCCTGCTGCAGCTGCTGCAATGATTTATCATGGAAAACAACATATGGCAAGGGTTTCTGGATCTGAATTGTAATAAGGGAAAGAGGCAGTTCCAAAATCCCTTAACTATCCTGTGCAGTACAAGAGGACTACAGTCACTGGGTCACCCCTGAAGGTTCCTGAGACAAGTCTGAAGACTTAGTGTACCATCACTGTCTAAATGTGCCTTTTGTTCTCCTTTTTCCAGTGGCTGACTCTTGTCATGTACACCTAGAGAGACGCCAGAGGTCATGGTAAGAATCTTGTGCTGACAAGAGAGGGGTGAGGTCCTTGCAGTAATCTCAGCCTGGGGTCCATAGGGGCTTTTGAGAGAAGCAGCTGTGAGAGGACGAGGGAAAGAGGTGAGACCTGCAGCATGAGAAGGGCTGCAAAAAGAATTCGTCTTTGGGCAATTTTTTCTGGGGAATTGCTGATGATCTTCCCAGTCAAACAGACCACCAATGGCTCTGCTAGAAACTTGCCTCCACCTGAGATCACTGATGAGTGAGCAGAACATTTTTTTTTGTATTCTGAGGGGTGCAGTTACCTCTACATATCTTACACAGCAGCAAATGTAGAGTCAGAGGGCGGGTGTACGAAGTAACTTAGATTTCTTGGTCAGTCCGAATTCACATTTTTAACAGAATTATGTGATTTGGTTTACATTTGAACTACACTCCCCATCTTGTGCTTCTTTTGATGTTTGCTCCTTCATGTCAGGGACATTTTTTCCTCTGGACTTTCAAATTTAGCTGCTTGGTTCTTGTGAAAGACTCTGCCTTTTCCTGCAAAACTGGTGCTGTTTATGCATCTGAGAACCATCTCAGCCATCGTGCTTCTGCTAACCCTCTGTGATGCAGCTGTTCCAGTTGCAGTGTTAGTGCTGGACCCAAACATTTGTCACTGAGGAGAAAGCAGGGAGGAAACCCAATCCTTAGAGAAAACGTGCAGTGGAGGGGCAGCTGACCCCAGGAATTTGTGGAGCATCCTTGGGCAAACTCAGACACTTTCCTTATCAGCCCCATCTAAAAACGGAGTAAAAAACCCAAACCCATGACATTCTTTAAAATCCATGAACTGCATCCACATAAGCCTTCCTACAGACAGGAATTACAATAATAAATCGTACATGAACAGCATCTCTGGTGTCTCACACCCTCTTTCTGAAGGCAGTTTGCATTGGATGCCAGCTTTGGTGAGAAGTTGGAAGGGGAAATGTATGACTGGGGTGTCAATTACACCTCCCAGGGAGAAAGCATGGTAGGTTTAGAGCCAAGGCAGGGATGGCTCCATATCTTTCACCTTCTTGGCTCCTGGTTACATCCAATGTGTCCAGCTGTGGAAGGAGCTGGGCTTCAGCCCTCAGCACTATGATGCCTTCAGCCCCCGAGCTCTGCTTGCAAACAGTTTTTGTTTGAAAGTCTGCCCTTTGCATTCAGAGCTGTGGACAGTGCAAACATGCATTTTGATGTGTGGAAGCAGAATATTCACAATACTGCACCCAGCACTTGCACTGCAGACTATCATTAGGTAAATATGAGAAGGACCTCGCCTTTGGAGATGAAGTTGCTTAAATTATTGATTGCAAATTATATTCATAGTCTATTTAGTAATCTTTCCTTTTTTTTTTTTCATTAATCATTCATAAACTGATCATAACTTCTGGGAATATATAATTAATCATAATTTTCACTTACTGGTTTGTAATGAAATCCTGCCTGTAGGGTGTTTGCAAGCAGCTCACTTGAGCAATTTAGCAGACACTTGGAGCTGGAGCCTGGGCAGTCATGGCACAGGACCCTCAGAGGACTGGAACTGGTGAAACTGGAGCCTAACAAACTGTGATTGATGTAGGAAAACACACTTGGCATACGCTGAAAAAATCCTCTTGGCAAAAATATTCCCATTAGTGATTCCTAAAGGCTCGCCTGAAGCTGGCTGTGTTCTGAGTCAGTCTCTTTACCTCTGTTTTAGGTGACTTTTCTTCCTCCTCAGTAGAACAGTGCCCAAGGCCATCCCACACAAAAGCCATCCACGGAGTTCTTGAAAAACCACAGTGAAGGAGTGAAGCCAGGTGTCCTTATGCTTGGTGGTACTCGGATATTGGGATGAAGAGTCCTTTCCAGGCAAAATGGGGGTGCCTTGGAGAGAGAAGAATTGCTAATGCAAGCACTCCATGGGCAAGCTGGAAGTGACTGTAACCTCCTCTCATCTTCCTGTAAATAGTACAGAAGTTAGGAACAGCTCCATTAGCTCCACTGTGAAAAAGAACAGACCCATGCCTTTTGTGTGAAAAGAGTGTATAAGATGTAAGTTACAACAACAATCAAGACACAGTTTTATTTGAATTATTTCTTAATTTTCTTGTGTGCTATTTATAAATGCCAGAAAATGATTGAGGAAATTAGTCATAAATTATAAATAACATCAGAAGCTTTTTTATTTTCTTTATACTTTTTATTACTAAATTAAAAAAAAAAAGTCTTTACCATTTTTGAGTTCATCAACTATTGGTATTCCATTTTATTTGATACAGCAATGAGGTGGCATATTAGAGATATAGAACAGATTGTGCACTGCTTTTTTCTGACTTCCAGAATCTATATTGGGACTGTCTGGGAGTAGAAAAGTTTGTCTGAACTGCATTCTCTTCCTCGATGTCTTTAAAAATGCAGGTCTTCTTCAGACATAATTCCTGCTCAAAATTTAACTTAAACCTGCAAAATAACTGTAACTTTTCTCTATCCACACATGAACTTAATTTTCATACTTTTTTGTCATGGCTTTAGCAGCAAATTTAGTGATCTATTCCACTCAGGTATTGAAAAAAACAATAATCTTTGGAGACTATTTGTGAAAATGCCAAAAAAGAAGGATGCAAATGTAAATGGATGAAAGAAATCCAAGGTTGCCATGGCAATATTATTCACACCGTGCCTCACCCAGGCTCTCTGCACAGGTTTCCATTGAGGCATCCACACATTAGCAGCAGATTTACCCATTTGGCAGGGAGATGTTGCACACTGGAGCAACAACTACATCACAAGGTAGGTATGAAACCCAGATCTTTGTTATCATGAGGTCAGTCTGTGTTGTGTCGCTGCCTCGTTCAGCAGCTTGGAGAGCATTAATCATGTCGGTAGGTCCTAGGCAAGAGGGGCCACTGAACCCACTCTTCCACTGAAAATTAGAGCAAGGGGAAATCACTTAAATTAGACTATTCTAATGGAGTTTTTTTCAGTAATTTTTGAACAAACTGATTCCTTCTCCAAAGTGGGACACACACATCCCACCTGCAATTTTTGATCACTAATTAAGCCCTCTGCAAATGTTGGCAAAGAGAGAGGATTAAAAGGGCGCCATGGAAAAATGAATATGCTTTGCTAAAAAGGTTTATTAGTAGAATCGTTTCAGAGAAAGGTTTATGTATCTTGGCCTGGGAATTCAAAAAAGATAATTTAAAAGCTTCAGGTATTTCTAGATGACTTCCACCACACAGTTTGGCCGTGCTCAAGATGCTCAGACCTGCTGGGAACTAGCTCTTTGTAGCTACAGAGAAGTCATCTCTGTTAAAGCTGCAAAATTCAGTTCAAGTCAACTGGTTTAAATACATTCTTGTTGTGTGAAAGTCTCATCTATAACAACACCAAGCCATTAGGATTAATCTTAAACATCTTAATTTGCAGCCGATGTATTACTTCTCCTTTTGTTGCAATGCGTGATTGCCTTTCCGTGGAAGGCAGTTCTGCCTGTCGGGAGGCACAGATCCTTGTCTCATAACTCAGCCTGGCCACGGACTGAAATGTCTCCTCTTCATTACAAAGCAGGCAGAGACACCAGGCACCCCTGGTGAGAATCATCACCTATCCCTGAGTTATCTCCCCGTGAGCAGCTGCTGGGGGTGATGCTCTGGGGAGTGTCCCCCGGCACAGAGCCCCAGCAGAGCCCACCTTCAGCTCCATCCCACCAGCCCTTCACCCAGATAAGTGTGGCTCTGTGCTCTGGGCACACCAGCACTCTCAGGGACCAGCCCGTGGCCCCTCTGGCTTTGCAGGCTGATCCTGCACTGGGGCAGAGTAATAACTCGCTGCTGTCAAACTGAGCATGGCTGCCTGTCTGTGGCATTGGAAGAATTGGTATTCCACTTGATTTATACCTCCAACCGAGCTAATTAAGCAACAATTCAGGAGGAATCCATCATTGTGACAGACTTGTTGATTAACCATCCTACGAACAAAGTCAAGGGTGCTTGGTAGCCTGAAAAAAAAAAAAAAGGGTCAATAATGGAGAAAAGCAATGATTTGGCCATAATATAGTGGTGGCTATTATTTCCAAAAGCAACAAGAAGCTTAATACATCTCACGAATACTGGGGCCAATACTGAAAACAAAGGCAGCTCAGATCAGTGGGGTGTTAGATAAAGAGAGACAACTTCTACATTTCATCTTTGTGTGATTAAGCTGTGAAGGCAAGCTTTAAGGGGATGGTGCCCCTATTAAAATCTTCAGGCTCCTTCATCTGTGTTTGCCAGCTCTGAAATGTGAGTGTGGTCCCCATGAGGTTTCTGGCACTTGTGAAGGCTCTGAGATTCATCCAATTATGATAATATAGTCTCTAATTTTTTTTATTAAAATCAGTTCCTAATCCTCAGGGACACAAATCTGGAAAGCCCTAAGAGAATCTGCTGTTAGAAATTGAAGAAAAGGACCTAGAACAAATGCTCTATTTTTAAATCTTCATGAGGCTAAAGCCCTCAAGAGGGTAAGAAGCAGGCTGAAGCAGATGAGATTAGTGATGCTGAACTCCCTAGCACAGGAGATGGGATATAGAACTGATGAAATTAGGTAAGATCTAAGCTGGCCATTAACTTTAGGAGGACTTTGGTGGAGAGTGGTGACAGCTGACTCTGCAAGTATAATCTCTAGGTGTAATCTTGGAGCCCTGCTGTTTACTGCCCTTCTCCTGAGACCCAAAGGCCCCAGTGTCTTACATCTGCCTGCCTAAATTGTGCCAAGATGGACAGAGGAGGAAGTTCTCACATGTCTTACCTACAGGGTCTGTTTCCTGAGCATGCAGCCTGGATCAAGGCTTTCCCAGGCACCTTGGAGGCTGTGGTTTGATGCCCACACTTCAGTGAACACATCTTGCTGTTGTGGCCTGGGAGACTTGGGGGTGTCCATGGCCAGTTTTGGAGCAGCTGAACCTCCCTCTCTGCCTTTGGCTATGCCTTAGGTTTCTCATAGAGACACTGATGCTGCAATTTGTACAGAATAGCTATAACATTTTCAAGGGGGAAAAAAAAGGCTCATTATTCCATAACCACATGCATGTCTGGAGAGGGGAAGGCTGGGTGAGACCTTGGCTGTGAGCAGCCCAGTGGCCCCTGCACTTTCTGTGCACTAATGATTTTTATTTTTGTTTCTTGATGCAATGCATTTCTCAAAGCAGGGAACAGCCATACCATGTCCTGGCCATGGGCTGCAGACTCACAGGCTTCTCTCAAGCAGGGGTGTAGCAGTGAGGGATTTCAGTGATATTTTAGTGTGCAGCCTGGAGGGGTGCCTGGGAATGCTCAGCTCTTGCTCAGTGAGATGGTGACCTTTCCTCAAAACTGCTACCTGAGTAGAAAGCAATGGAAATTCTGTCAGGAGAGACCCCTCCCCATGTTCAGGTGGGCTCAGTAGGGGCACAGCCAAATATTGGGATCATTTCTCTGGTGGATGGTGCCAGCTCTATTCAGCACTATTGAGCTTAGCCTTAGTACCTGTCTTTAGGATCTCTTTGCTGCAGGTCTGCAGCTGAAATATTTCACTCTTACCTAGCAATTCCTTGCACAAAATACCTCAACCTGCAATTTCTGGCTGCATTCCTTGCACCTGCTCCCACCCTGAAATTGCTGCACCTTTTCATCCCTGGAGAGGGGCAGTCCCAAAGCGCAGCAGCTTCTTCAGAGCAGGTTTCCCAATGTCCCCCACCAGGCTGGCCACTGCCACCCCGTGTCCCTGCCACCAGCTGTGCCACCAGCTGTGCCTGGGCTGGGTGTCCCCAGCCTGCTGTGACTCTGTGTCCATTTCTCCTGCCTGGCAGTGACATCTAGAGGCTCCCTGGCCTGAGCTCCTGTCTCACTGCTCACAGCTCTTGGCTTTGTTCCTCACAAAGCACCTGGGAAGGTCTGAAGTACTGCTAGGCTTAAATCCAAGTCCTTCCCTTGCCCCTCCTTCCCTAAGCCACCATGGGAAGGATTTTTGTTGTAGCATCCCAAGAAAATTTGACATTGTTTCTGGGATACCAAAGCTCTGAGAGAGCCAGCCCATGTCCCTTCCCTGAGAGAACTGGTCCACATGAGGCTGGTGGTGGTTAAATAATACATACAGCTTTCCACTTGAGGAAATATTATTTCCTTGTTTTACGTGCCATCCATTAGATTTGATGCCATCCAGCATCAAAGGCAAAGCTGCCACAGAAATACCTCTGTATCACGGCTGGCTGTGCAAGATGAAAGATTATTGTGCAAACAGTATTATGCATTTAAAAGCGATGCATTCAAGAAAAGGGAAGGAAATATATCATCTCCATAGGCTGAATTATTCAGCCAGATGATGAATGCCTCTCCTGAAGCATTCCCAGGGTTTGAGCTGAAATACCTACCATGGGGAGAGACAGGGAATACTATTGCCTGTATGAAAGGTACTTGGTATTCAATAGAATGTGTATTCTCTATAGTGATATCCCATAGGCATTTTGAGTCAGCAGAGCAGATTGCAAATGATCTTCTAGCCTGAAATCAGGGAAAAAGCAACTTAGTGGAGTAGAGCTTTCTCTCAATAAAAAATTTGCAGGAATATTGCAGTAAAAAGTCTGAGGAATGGGTCTTGCCCATCCTGTGTCTTATGTCCACCCTCCTCTCCTCTTTACTTATTTTGTCTGCCTGATCCTGAGAAGCTGGACTGTAATGATGATTCCCAGCTCCACACAGAGAGAAATGCCAAGACAAGGTGGGAAGCACAGCTGTGGCGTGAACCTTCTCCATCACCCTTGAATTTCATGGCCTAAACCCCCTTCTCCTTATCTCAAAGGGACATAAGTTACATCTCCATCCATGGAGCAGGAAGGTGCTTTGCTTACCAATGGTGTGTATGATTCTTAAGACCTAAACACAGTCATTGACCTGTAGAAATGATAATGTGTCTAGTTGTTTGGGTTTTTTGGTTTTGGGATTTTTTGTCAAACCAGCATTCCATGTGCTCTTGAACTCAGAGGTGATAGGAGATATAAAATGAAACTGAGATTGTCAGGCTGTCTTGATTTTACTGGATTGAAGGAAGAATGGTTAAATGAAAATTGTAGCTGTGAGTGCCAGATTTTTCTTTTTCTGATTCTTTATTTTTTTCCTCCTAGACACTGGCATAAAAGCTTCCCTTTTCATTATTATATCAGGTGAAACCAAAGGATTTTTTTCCCCCCACTGAAAAAAAAAATAAACAGTTTCAAGCTCTTAGGGTGTCAGTGAAGGCCAACACAATGTTTAATCAAATTTAGAAGATGAATTGTACACCTTACCCATAGCTCCTAGATATCATTTGTTACCACAGAAGTCCCTTGGACAAAGCCTTCCACATCAGGCTGAAGCTGTTAGGAAGCCAAAAAGAACAGTGTGCTGTGGTGGACCTGGACATTTTCTTCTGGGCCCTGGTTGCCAGCCAAAATTCTCATTAAAGGCAGCAGAAGGGAATTCTGGACTTCCAAGCAGCCTTTGTAACACTCAGCATTTCAAACTCCTCATATGGGTGTTGGCTCTGGTCTCGGGAGGGGGTTCACATCATTGCTCCTTCCCAAAAGGATGCATCAGAAACTCCCTGCACTTTTGTGGGGCAGGAGGACATCAGGTGGCCTGGCTGGAATAAAGGAAGAGGAGCAGTGAGTATGTGGCCATGGATGGCCTGGGTACAGGGAAGCAAAGGCAGCACTTTCTGTGCCACTGCAGAAGTTTCCTGGGGCAAGCACCAACCCCTCCAGCAAGTGCCTGTGCCAGAGGTGACTGCAGAGATGCTCTGGGGAGGTTTCTGTGTTTTACTGCCCTGGAAAAAGCATGGGGCCTGGGAAAGTGTCCTGGTTTGAAAGACAGGTGTCTGCTAAGAAAGGTAGGAGCCTCTCTTTGGAATGGAGAATGTGAATCCCTTCCCTCCAAATGATTCTAATTTTGAAATTAAGGGGCTCTCAGGCAAAGATATGGGAAGTAGGAATAACAGTTATTTACTAGGAAAATTAAAATAGAAATACAGTATTACAGAGAACAAACCCAAAAACACTGACAGAGTCAGAATACAACCTGACACCCCATCAGTCACTCAGGGTGTTGGTAGCAATCCCATTAAATGGTGGCTGCATCTTCCTGGATGACAGATGTGGTTCTGTTGAAGCAGTGCTCCTGTAGAAGGGTGCAGTTCTCCAAAGGTCCAGTGATGATGTAGAAGATTCTGGTTTTCCTCTGGAATCCAGTGGAAAAAGGCTGCCTTGGTGTTCCCAATCTCAGTTTTTATCTAGGTAGGAAAGGCTTGGCTCCTCCCCCTGGGTGGAGCATCTCCCAATGGGATGATGTAATTTTATCAGTCATGCAGTGGGACTCAATGGCCCATTAACAGAAGATATCTTCCTGGAGGAAGGATGGGTTGTGGAAAAGATAAGGAACACTGCCCCACCAGGTTTAACAGATGGTGACAGAATACATACTTTTGGTCACATCCTGTATTGCAACCCAAGACAGAAAGTCACACCCAGGCAAACTGGGAGATCTTGGCATATCCTGTGTGCAGGCCTGGGTCCCCACATCCATGGAGAAGTCTGTTTCCTGCAGGCTCTGCTGCTGCTCCTGGTGCTGACAGGGATAACCTGGAGGGCTCACAAAGCCGTGTCCCTCCAGGCACTGACAGCTCCCCTGACAGCTCCATGCTAGCAGATGTGGGAAACATCACTCCTGGCTCAGCTCTTGGAGCAGGAGATGGATGCAGCTCTCCTACTTAATGTTCACTTGATGTGAACAAGTCCCAGGACAGGCAGACATCTGCAGTCACTCAGCTCTGCTGCTGACATGTGAAGGCATGGCTTTGCAGGCACTTCTTAGACAGCAGGCTGGGTTTAAAAGCCAAAATTAGAATATGGGATAGAAGAAGCCTTTTCCCATTAAACCACATTTGTAAAAATAATTTCTGGGCATTTACCCTTGTGCAATTTCACTTTAGGGCCTTATTTCTCTCCTTGTCCCCAAGGCTGGGAGAGGGTCATGCTGTTGGACAGCAGTCACATCCAAGAGGCAGCAGGTGAGCAAACAGCTTTGTTTTGTTGAGCTGGAAGCACCAAACTGAGGAAGGCAAGGGCCAGAAGCTGCTTGCAAAGCTGCTGAAAAGGTTCAGGAAGGTGTGGTGTCATAACTGAGCCATCAGGGCTGTCCCTCAGGATGTGCCCTCTGTGCTGCCAGGCCGGTGGTGGATTGACACACATTCCCACTGACCTACATTAGAGGGATTTATGACTCACACATGAAAAAAAAATAATTTCTCTAATGAACAGGCTGCTGCTCCTGAGATGGAATTTTGTGTGAGATACTAAGCAAGGGCCTTTGATTATTTGAATATAATGATGTACTCTAACATAGTTTAACAAAGAAATAACTGGCATTAGGCCTTTATGCAGACATTCATGGCTTTCAAGACACTTTATGGATGAATTGATTCTGTTCAATCATGCAAGGCATAGAATTATTTCCTTCTCTAGCTCCACACTGAGTCAATTAAAAAAGGGGACAGGATTTCCAAAACTCCCTTTTGCTTTTGACTGAGCAATGGAAGAGCTTTTAGAGAGGCCTGAGACTCAAGTGAACCCAGTGGTAGAAAGTCAGAGGTAGAAATCGGTATGTCAGGAACAGATTGTTTCTTTTTTTTTGGATGAAATATACTCTGATTTAATGAAGACTTCATTAATCCAGGGATGTGCCATGTCATGCATAATACAGGAGTTCAGATGGATGGAGCACAATGTTCTCCTCCAGCACAGGGATATGAAGTGGTGAGATCTGGATGGGGATCATGACAGGTCCCAGAGTTAAACTGGGATCCAGCTGGGCATGGCTCACAGGTACAGCCAAGCAGAAGAATTGGCTTGATGGCAGGGGCTTGATCTTTAAGACCCAAACCATTCTATGATTTCATTTAAAAAGCACTGAAGGTATGCAAAGCTTTGGCAAGTTGGAATTTCCTGGAAAAGTATTTGAACAAACTTTTTTTTCCCCCTTAAAATGGATAGATTGTGTAAGAACTTCTGGGAAACAGCACGGCTAAAAGCCCCCTGTACTGCTGATAAGCAGACACTGCCCCGAGACTAATTTCATCTTAATTTGTCAGGGGTGTGTGTTTTAACTACTTAATCATTCGATAAAAGACTTTATCTCATTTACAGTATTCACTCCTCTTCAAGCCCTGTTTCTCCTGTTCTCACCTCCGGGAATTTTAAACCCAGAAACTTCACCTGAGCAGGTAATTTAGGGAAGGGGCTGTTTGCCCACCTGCGGGCAGGAGATGCTGCCGCAGTTCCAGCCGGGAGCTGCAGATGGCAGGGTTGAACTGCAGAGCCCGGCATCACCAGCGCTCCTTGCTCTCCTAACCAGCAAATCCCTTCAGCCAGGGACCGAGGCACAGCAGCACCGCGTAGGTGACACTGGGAATACCTCGCTCACAGCTTGCTTTGGAGGTGTTAAACCCCTCTTGAAAAATGAGATTATTTTCCTCCACAAACACAGAGCCAATGTTGGTACCACAGGGGTTGCCCTGAAGGTGTTGCACCCACTCCTTATGCACACAGAAGAGTAAAAAAAGGTACAGAGAAAGGCACTGAAGGGAATCAAAGTCTTCTGAGCAGCTTCTGGTTGAGGAATCATTAAATAGATAGGGCTATCTTAGTCTGGAGAGGAGCTGCTTACAATGATGGTGGAAAGCAGGTGTATTAAAAAAAGACCGTTCATGGTCCTATAATAGAAGAACCAGGAGCAGCAGATAAATCACTTGCTGGTGTGTCCAAAGAGGCTAGATGAGGTACTGCTCCCCATGGCCTGGAATGGCAGAGCTCATCTCTGTGAGGTGCTGGGGCTGCCAAACCTTTGCAGAGCTTTGAAAAGTGATTGGGGAGCTTCATAGAGAGGAATCAATCAGGGGGTACCATACTCAAAGGCATCCCCTCCTGTTTATGAGGAAGTCAGTTCCGGGCATTAAACCCTTCCCAGGGTCTGCTGCTGGAGTCAGGAGACTTTCAGCTGGCCTGATGCAGCACTTCAGTGGCCCTGGCCTGAGGAGCCAGTTTAGGGGATGCTGTGAGCTGCTCAGCTTTCAATTGCAGAAGTCCTTTTCCAGGACAAAACTCCAGCTACATTGCATGAGCTCTGAGGCTAGAAGATGAGAAAATGTACTTATATTAAAAAAAAAAAAAAATCACTCTTTGACCTCTAAGTGGGTTTTGAAGGGAGGGAAGGTGGGATTCCTAGGTCAGGGTTTCCAAAGGCATGGGATGGCAGCATTGCACTGTGTCCTTAAGCCTCTTTGCACTGAACCAGCAGGGAAAGGCAGGGTGAGTCCCTGGTATTAGGACTGTGGAGTTGTAAAGTGTCACAGAATTATATAATCATTTAGGTTGAAAAAGACCTTTAAGGTCTTTGAGTCCATCCCCTAACCCAGTACTGCCAAGCCATGTCTCTAAGTGCCACATCTACATGTTTTTAAATACCCCCAGGGATGGTGACTCAACCACCCCCCTGGGCAGCCTGTTCCCATTCTTGGCAACCCTTTTGGTAAAGAAATTGTTCCTTAATATCCTTGTCCTATGGCTTGTTACTTGGGAGAAGACACCAACCCCCAGCTCACTATAAAGTCTTTCCATGCAGTTGCAGAGCAGAATAAAATCCATTCTGAGCCTCCTTTTCTCCTTGTCAGTGTTTGGTCGGCAGAGCTTGGCCTGTTGCTCTCACCTACAGGTGGTGCATTGGCCAGGCTGCATCTCTTCCATGGTCTGTATCCCAGAGGGAAGCCCCAGCAGCTGGGGAGCCTGGGTTGCCCTTGGCTATCCAAGTGCAGAGCAAGGCTGGAGCAAGAAAACCCTGGGTCCAGCATGGCTTTCCTACCAAAAGGTGTAATTAATGAGTCTGGATCTGTGTGAGGAGGAGGAGGAGGAGCAGGAGAAAAATAGGAATCAGATCAACAACATCCGAGTTAGTGCCTTTCTCAAAACCTGTTTTCTCTTTGAGGAAGAAACAACTCTTTCCCCATTTTAGTCAGGCTCAGTTGGCAATATGGGAACAGCCCAAATTCACAGCCATTTCCTGGCAGGGTTAGATTTAGTGCAGCATGGTGGGGATGGTGGCAGCAGTAGCTGTAAAGCCAATAGAGGAGAGTAGCAGCACTAACTAACAGATCTCAGTACTAACCCTGGAAGTGCCACTGCCCTAGTGTTAACAGCTAGTTAATAGGAAATGATGATCAACAACTGCTCAGGTCCATTGATTGTCTTCTTGGCATCAGCCAAGTGACCTTTTATGCTCTTCCTGACTGGACTTGATATTCAGGCTCTTCAGCTTGCTGTCTGATCTGGTTGGAAAGGAGGGCTCTGTGTTCCTGTCTGTAGTCAGACTTCCTGTGTTATAAGGTTATGAAATCTGCTAGAACCAGGGGAAATGGCCTCAAGTTGCTCCAATGGAGGTTTAGGTTGAATGTTAGGAAAAGAGTTCCATGGATAGGTTTGCCTAGCATTGGAACTGACTGCCCAAGGAAGTGGTGGGGTAACCATCCCTGCAAAAGGGCAGGTGCAGTGGTGAGAGTGACATTACAAGGGAAATGGAGCATGTGCTGATGTGAGATCATTTGCAAGATTGTTTGGAGTAGTTTGTTGTTTTTCTTTTTGACTGGCCAATGAACAGGATTATCAAGGTGGAAAAATCTGCTGCTTGTTGGTTGATTACTGTGAGAAATGAGTAGTCCATGTTTCTGATCACCTGTGCTTGGTGAAGCTATGGCAGAATAAGCTCTTCCTCACCTTTTGTAGTTAAACAACGAAAAGTCACTTGGTTACTGACAGGCCAAAAAGAAGAACAAGTCTGCTCTTAGCTTATGCCCTGCCCTGGCTTGCTGCTGTGGCAGGGGACAGGGAGAAGGCACCTACCTGAATGCTGGCCCTGGCTTTCCACACTGGAAAAGGGTCAGTCTGACCCTAAGCAGCATCCAAGCAAACACTGACCAATGCAGATAAGGATGTTGGGATTTTTGCCCCAGCAGCATGCACTGTCCTGTTTCCAGATCTCCATGTCCAGTGCCTGGTTCCCCCTTACCCTAAATTTACTCAAGGCCTGACTAGAATCCTTTGCTGGGGTGGGGGAGCATTATTCTATTTATTGGACTACTTTTCCATAATTGCATTTGCCTGTGGATAGCCCTCTAATCTGCCTGTTCCCAAACCTCATGCAATAATGCTGGAATATGGCTGCATGTGCAGGGAGCAGCTGGGCACTCGTGTGTGTGTGTGTGTGTGTGTCCATGCACACGTGTCCGGGGTGAAAGCACAGCTCTTGGCATGGCATGTCCTGGGCAGTGGCTGCCTCCAGCCCTCGCTGGGCTGAGCTTTGCCTCCACATGACAGTGGCTCCCATCCCAAGTAATTATGTGGAGCTGCTGTGTGCCAGAGTCTGTTCTGCTTCAGAAAAAGGCTGAACAAAGGGCTTTCTCCACTGTTTGCTCAGACCTACCTCATAGGGTGAGGTAAACCAGCAGGATGAGAGGTAAGGCAAGGCCTGGAGATGGTTGTGACCTGGACTCTTCTGTCCTGCTCCATCACAGCAGAGCCACTGCCACTCTGATAGGACCCACCTCCAGGATCTTGCTGTTCCGGGAAAGGATACAGGCATTTGGCTTCATCACTTTCAGCAGCAATGTTTTGCAGCTGTGAAGTCCAGCTGTGGCTTGGGAATCTCTGCCCCTTGCCCTGCCCTCCTGTGTGACACCTCCTGCCTCTGCCCCACATGCAGGGCTCAGGGATTCTCAGCTGTGTGAGCTGCTCCAGGCTGGTGGGCATCCCACTCCCAGATTAGCAGTGCTTCAGGCAGGGAAGTCAACCCAGGAAAGCTCCTCGGGGGGTTCTTTTTCCTGGGAGGTCTCTCATCTATTCCTGGACTAACCCCAAAGCCTTTTTGCACAAGAGCACACGGCCCTTGACTGTGCAGTGTTCCTTGGATTGTGATGATGTTGAGCAAAGATCAGTGCAGTGCTCTGCTGGTCCCCCTGCTCTGTGCCTCCCACAGGGACTGTTTCCTCCACCCTGAAGAGATCTGCTCCTCTTCTTCCTCTCTATCTGCAGCCCCATCAGTCCAAGAGCAAACACACCAGAAATGTGATGTGAACTTGCTTGCAAGAACAGTAACCTGCAGGGATGGGGCTTTGGCTGCTGGAACACAGTGTTTGGCTTCACAGATGTTTTCATGGGATTTTGTTTTGTTTTGTTTTGTTTGTTCCAGGAAAACCAGAGGAACTAGATGACATGGGAGAAGGGGATCTCAGCATAAATTTTGTTGGAAGCATTACAGTAAGCAGCCCTCCAGCACTTGAGCTGGATAATAAATTTTGTTTAGGGGGAAAAAAAAGAAGCACAGAAAAAAATCAGTCAGTGAAGAGGGTCTAACAACCTTTGCCCTGACACATGCTGGAGTGTTTTTGAGCAATGTAATGAAAATCATCTGAAGAGCAAAGCAATGCAAGAGCTGCTGTTACAGATGCCCTGAGACCCAGTTAGCTTAACTTCTTTATTGATCTTCCCTGGAAATGAAGCACTACAGCAGAGAGGTTAAGGGAAACAGATAATAAACAAGAGAGACTTTGAACACATGAAAGCTGGGATGACAGTTTTAGGGAAGACATCTCAATGGAAGCACAGTGCCCAACTCCCCAGGGTTTTAGCCAACAGGCATTAATAACCAAACACTGAACCCACTTCTCTGGAACTGGATCAGGAGGTCAAAGTCCAGCTCCTTGTCTCTGCAGGAAGAGGCATGTCAGGCTAAAGTGGGAAGGAGGAGCTGCATGTGAGTGCCAGACAGGACAGTGAAGGCTGGACTTCAGTTCTTGGGAGTTTGGGCCCTTTGCAAGGCAAACCAGCTAGCACCACACCTTCACATTAACTCTGCTCCATGGGACAACTTTCCTCTTTGGCACCTGTTTCCAAATCCAAACTTGGAAATTCTAAAGAAAGTTGCCCACTGTGTTCTGCTGGGGTACCAAACTGTGCCAGTCCCAGGTCAGAGGTGTCTCCATTGCCCAGGGGAAGCAAGCAAGGAGAGACCCCAGCCTGAACATTTCCCTGCTTGTCCTCTGCCTCTGGGTCCCCAAGGCTTTGCTGAGGGAAGCAGTGACATCTCTTTGCTCCAGAAGAAGTAACACTGAGCTAACAGTGGCACGAAAATGTGCTGCACCTCTTTTTGAATTGCACAGCTGCAGCTTTGCATTTCTGAAGGTTTAGCACCTAGGGAATAAGAAATGTCAGTATTACCATATAGTTTTCCTTGGGTGATACAAAATCCTTCAGCTGTCAGGTTAATTTAAAGGCAAAGAGGAAATCAAGTTTAATCACAATTTTGTGATCATTTTTGCCTCTCACAGGAAAAGTTCCCCCAGCTATGCTAAAAAAATGTTTTATGTTTCAAGGACATTGATTTGTTAGAGAAAAACTTGCATTCCTTGAGCTGAACATCTCCCTGAGCAAGAGAGGAGGGAATACCCCAGGATCAGGAATGAGGATCTGCTCGAAGTAAATGCATTTCGAGTTTCTATTTTAGATCAAGAAACTGCTCTTGGGTTTCTGGTGGCAGTCAGACAAGCTGATGAGCACCTTTGGGAAATGCACCTCCTGAAATCAGCTGCAAGCCACCCCAGCTCCTACAGGCAGTCACCCAGCCTAGAGCAGCACCTGCCCTGGGGTGCTAGGAGCCCTCCAGAGGCACCCACCATTCCCACCACAGCTTCTCCTTTGCAGCTGGTCTGGAACCCTTGGGAACCAGCCCCAGGAAAGGGCTTTCCATTCCCCATTCCAGTTTGAAGGGGAGGGAAAGTAGGAGGAGCAGGGAGATTTGGAACAGAGAGATTTGAAACAGGGGAGGGGGAGAAGATGCTTTCCAAGGGAAGAGCCAGAAGAAATTCCAGGGAGGTGTAAGATTTAGAGGGCCAAAGGTCCCAACCACCATTAGCAAGAGGAATCCAGCACATCACTGCTTAGGAGGGGCAGGGCTGTGAGTCTGCAGGGTGGAGGGCAAGGGAATGGAAAGGACTGGAGAGGACATTGATTTTCTTAGAGGAAAAAGTGAGCAAGAATGACCTCAATGGAAAAATATTCTCTCTCTCTCTCCCTTTCTGTCTCATGGACAAATATAGCCCTACACGTTATGCAAAGGCAGCGTTCAAGCATGCTTGGAATGAGCAACTTGGGAGGCAAATTGCTACCACTTGTCCCCACTCTTGTTTTTTGGCTTTTATTTCTTTTTCTTGCTTTGTCTTCTCCCCTCCAGCGTGGTCCAGCCTTTACAGCTGCCACAAAGCCACCTCAGAGGGAGCCCCTGACTCAGGAGGACAGAGGGGTGTCCAGGGGACAGCTGCCAGCTGTGACAACCACCACTGGTGTTCCCAAAACGACCTGAGAGGAAAAATGGATTGAACCAGGGCTGTGTGGGTTAAAGAAGGGAGAAACGGTTGGGCTGAATAACAGAAAAGTCTTTCCAACAGTAAGGAATGCCCGGAGATCTTGCCAGCACCCATCCCAGGCCATCCTTAGGGACCAGTTCAGCAGTACCTGTCCAGGAGGGCACAGGCAGCCATTCCCCCTGACAGACTCCCTGCTCAGCAGCAGCCCAGACCATTTCCTTACTACCCTATTTCTGCATAATTCCCTTCTCTTTCACTACAAACATTACAGAACATTTCTGCTGGGAGTCAAAGGGCTGCCAAGTGCCTGTAGCTGTTTCCATCATCTCCCAGCCCCAGCTGTGTTTTACCTGGAGGCTGCAGCTCCCATGGACCTGCTGTGTTCCAGTGGCTTCTCTGCTGCTTGTCCTTGGTTTGCTCCTCGATGGAAGCCAGCTCCAAGGGGCTGGAGGGACCCTGTGACCCCCTCTGCCCCACAGCCAGTGCCAGCCCCAGCTCACACCAACATTCCATTGGGACAGCAGCACAGGAAACACCCTGGGCCACCTCTGGACACGGCTCCCATCCTTTGGTTATCCCTGCTTGTGTTTCACTTGTGGGGCTGGAAATCTCAGCTTCCTGGTGAAACACAGGATTGCTCAGGAAAAATCCAAATGCTGACGTGAGTGGCTGCCCACCCATGGCTACTCCAGGGGCAAGGAGAAGGAAGACCCAGGCTTGGGTGCAAAGCAGAAATCCTGCATTACATTATCAAAACCTGCCCTATCCTTCTCCTCTAGGACAGATAGAAACAGCTCCTGAGCCTTGGATCCAGCTCTGCAGCCAGACCTTGGGCTGAGCAGATCAGGACAACACTTCTTCTACCCTCTCCTTTCCCCATAGGCCCAGGACAGAGATGAGTTTTGCAGCCCAGGGTCTCCCAGGACAGAGAGGTAGGGCTGGGAAGATCCAGAAATAAGTTGCCAAGGGGCCCTACAAGAAAGCTGGAGAGGGATTTTTTTACAAGGGAATGTAGCGACAGGACAAGGAGGAATGTCTTTCAACTGAAAGAGGGTAGGTTTAGGTTAGGTCTTAGGAAGAAATTCTTCACTCTGAGAGAGGTGAGACACTTCAACAGGCTACCCACAGAAACTGTGGATGCCCCATCCCTGAAGGTGTTCAAGCAGCAATACCAATATTAACAATAACAGCAATAGCAATGGCAGTGTCTCCCTTCCAAGTGCCAGAACAATCTCCATGTTGTATTTATGAGGAAAAAAAAGAAATAAAAATGAAGAATTCAAATGTCTTCTTCAACCCCAAACTGTGAGATAGCTGGAAAGAGACACAGATCTCCTTAATCCCCTCAGCTCAGCCATTGTGTGAGGGAGTCAGACAAAATCTGCAGGGCTGTCTCTAGGATGTGTTGCCCTTCCCAAGAGAGAAATGGGAAGAAGTACAACCCAGGAGCTGTAGTCACCCCCATGGGCTGTGCCATGTCCAGCACAGATGGGGAGGGCTGGTGGCCTGGCAGTGCAGAGGGAAGAACAGCCTCTGCCCTCCGTTATCCCAGGTTGCATTCCCTCTTTTCTTGAACAAGTTTGATGCCAAAAAAGTCTCCTCCACAAAGCTAGTTGTGTCTGATTTACAGGAAATCAATCAAATGCGACAAAACTAAAGCAAACAGATCAATCTGCAAACGGAGAGACTTTTCTCAGTCTTTCATAAACAAAAACATAAAAGAAACAATTTTTCCTTCCCTCAAAAAAACCCCCTGCAAATGTCATCTGCCAGCGCTGTTATTTCCACATCCCAGGAGGGAGGCAGGCTGGTGCTGCTCCCAGATTTTCTGTGAATGGGCTGGGAAGCAAAGCAATTAGGCAGAAGATAATAAACCATTCACCCAAACACAACAGCCAGCAGAAGAGGGGCTGTAAACAAGTCCTGCTTTTTTACCTCCTTGCTGTTTCCAGCAGTTTTGTGATACACACCCCAGGCAGGTTTTATGCCTGGTAAGAAGCCTGAGGATGAGGTGGTATTTGCCCACCTAAGGAGTCGTCTATGTTTGCAGAATATTAAAAATACTAAAATTCTCCAAGCTTCATACAGAGTTTTTGTGCTTGTAGCCTGCAAGAATTGGTCCAATACTGTGGCTGGCATCAAGCCAGTTTGCAAACCAATTTCTGTTTCCAGACCTTGCTGGTGCAATGCCTGCACTGCCTTGGCACTGTTAAGACAGAGGATAAGCTCTTCCTCGTGATGGCTCTGGTGAATCCAACCTTCATCCCTGTTCTTACCACAGATGTTCCCCAAACACTGTGGTTGTGGCAGGCCCATGGTGGGAGGCAGAGGAGAAGTCAAGGGGGATCCCGACAGGAGCCAAACCCTTCCTGGTGACCTCATGTTGGAGACCTGCTGGTGGCCAGGGCTGCATGGCAAGGATCTAGGAAGGCTGCAGGGATAGAGCTTCCACTGCCAGGTGGAGGCAGGCTTGGCCAGGGAGGTGCCATTCCAAGGGGTTCATAAGCATCAGTACAACTTCCCAAGGGACAACAAATCTATCATGTGCTCTACCACATTGTTTCCAGGTGCTTGAAAGTTTTGATGGAAAAGCTGCTTTTTCTCAAAGAAATGAGAATTTCTCACAGAAATGAATTTTCTCTTTGGCAACAAAGAAGTCAGTTTTCAGCCAAAAACGTTGCACTGGGGAGGAAATGCTCCCATGTGAGCAATCCAAGTATCCCGACCTGAGCCATACATCCTCCAGCCTGGGGCATCTGTGTGAGTGAAGCTGGATGTGCTGCCCCAGGTGTATCCCTTCAAAGAAATTACTTGACCAAGTGGGACAGGACAGGATGGGAAAGAAATAATAAATGCAGTCGATATCCAAAAGGAAAAGAGAACAAATTAAAAAAAAAAAAAAAAGAGAAAGTGAGAAAGGGAGACTCTCCATTTATGAGTTATTGGAAAGAGAGGTGATGGGTAAGGGATGAGAAGAGGAAGAACTGTGCTATCAAAGGTCTATGACACTGAAGAGGCTTTTTAAAAGCCTGCCACAGCCTCTCTTAGGCACACATCTTAAAAGACAACAGTAATTTTGTTTAGTTTGGCACTTCCACAGCACCTGACAAGCAGGCATCTAGAAAGGCTCTTCTGATTTTCACTCCAGAAACCCAGGCTTCACATGAGGAAATTTCTGTGTGATGATAAACCCTGAAAAATATCAAAAAAGCAGATTCCAGAAGGGGATGCTTCAGGGTAAGAGTTAACTCTTTGACCACTGGGGCTGACTCCCTGTCTGGCATCAGCCCTTGGGAACTCACACCCAAATGACCTGGGGAAAAGCACCACCAATTTGGTATGCTCATTTTTCAGGTTCTGTACAATTTACTGGCCAATAAATAGTCTTTGTTGAAGTAATTTTTTTCTCTTCTGTGAGCAAACACAGTATAAAACATGGTTTGGAGTGAAAAGCCTGAAGCCAAACAGTGACGGATTCCTTTTTACTACCATTGATCACGTGGAAGAGCTGTTTGGAGGCTGCTGTCTCTAAAAAACACCCTGCATGTTTGAGAAGTGATCTATACAGCCATTCCATCTGTCTTTGGGATGATAAAAGCCTTCAGCTCAATCTCCTTACAGATTTCTTCATCTGCATTTCCTGGACCCAATGATGAGAAACCTGGGGAACAAATCTCTTCTGGCTCTTTTGAAACACTTCATTGTAGAACTGGCAGTGCCATATCGATGAAACCTGACAGCAATATTTTTTATTTATTATTTATTATGTAATTTACTTATTTATTTATCTATCATGATTGTCCCTTCTTAGATTTTGGAATTATTGGGACATGCATGGATTTCCTGGCTGAGCCAGGGATTTTTTTCCTTTATACTCCACCTCTCCCAAACCACTGAGGTTGTCTGCTCACGAATGATGGCATGGGTGGCATACTTTGCTGAGTGCCCATTCTTCTTGTCCCATAGAGCACAAGAAGATACAAGCACGAGTCTATAAGCAGGAGGCCCTTATCTCCATCCTTCTCTCAGCAAGGGCGAGTGGCTGACTGAGGTGGTCCTGGCTTCCCCCAGGACTGCTCTCTCCCTCTCTGCTACCCTGGTAATGCAGATTCTGGCCCATTAAAGGCTTGCTGTCCCTTCTCTCTTCCAGGCTCTCTCATTGCTTCTCTCCTTGGGCCATATGGAGCATCACCAGAAGTATTTTGTCATTTCCATTGATCTGTGTAGGACAAACAAAGGGCTAAGCAGCCAGAAATGGATGGTCCAGTAGATCTGGAAGGACTTGCTGATTGATGTTGATCCCCCAAGTCTAACTCAGCTTTCCCTGCTTCGTAATGTTGCTCTTTATTCCCAAATGAGATTCCAGCTGATGTTCACCACAGGGGTCCATATGATTGAGAACCCACCATAACCTTAGAAGAGATGCCAGAGACAAAGCACCCCATGTCATCTGGGGATGCTTTCTCACCCTTACCAGGGCAATGGAGGAGTCTGAGGAGCTTTGCTTTTCCTACCAGACCTGTTCTGCTTAATTTGCCCATGTGCTGATGGAGTAGGGCCCTTGGACACTCCTCTCCCAGCACATTCCCCTGGCTGCTTTGTGCTGTGGCTCACAGGAACCGCCTCCCCATGATCTGCAGCAGAGCAGAGCTGTCCAGAGAAATCCAAGCACTTTGTGCTAATTGAATTAACACCTTCCACTAAGGCCACTGGCTATCAAAGTGCTGATTTGCTTCCTGAGGCTGAGGACCAGATTTTCCAAAGCGATTTTCCAAAACGAGGAGGAGACTGATGCAACATGAGCTTCTAATGAGCTACCTCTTGCATCTTACCTGGGTCCTCACTGTCACTGAACCGAGACTCATTTAGCAGACACCTCTAGCGTCTGTGGATCCTGATTTGGCCATCAGCAGAGACTGAAGCCACACTCATCATTGTAAAAATATTTTTGTGCTCCCTATAAAGGACCACACCTTTAAGCCAGAAGCACGTTGCAGGCTTTTGCCATTTCACACTGTGTACAGAGATTTAGTGTGACTGTGAACAAGGATTTAGTCTTGCTGTACTGCAGATGACCCATGAAACAGCTCTGCAGATACCTGGTCTGCACAAAAATCAGGTCTATAGCTTTCCCCTACAGCTCTGATGAGCTGTCACGCTGTGAAAAAAATCAGACCTGTTTACAGCTGCTTCATGCTTAAAAATATTATACGTTTGACAAGACTAATGCAAAAATCAAGAGGGATAGCTTGAGACAAAATCACTTCCAGGCATCTTTGTGTCTCCTCAAGTCTGTATTACACAAAGCAATTGCAGTAAGTACAACATTAAGTACTACCAAGCCTCTAAAAACAAAACAAGCTGTGCACGTTAGTGCCCCAGAGCAAGACAGTGCCCGGGATGAGGGCTCTCAGAGGAGATAATCTCCATCCCTTCCCCTCTGTGCACACACAGAACAACATCCTCATCATTCTGATGTCACGGCACGTCCAACCGATGAAAAAGCCCAGCTAAAGCCACCGCAAATTTCCCAGACACATCGGAGGAGTGCAGCCGGCGGAGGAAGCCAGCACACGCTTACATCAGCCTGCATCAGGTTGCTAGGCGACCAGGAAATCTGCACGTGTTGCCATGACGATGTTACTCCATCATCATTCAGTGCACAGCCCCGAGGAGTGCAGCCAGTGCTTCCTGCGCACATTCCGGGACACAAAAATGTGGGATCAAGCAGGAGCTGGGCAGCGCGGGGGGTGCTGCAGTCAGAGCCTCTCACTCGGGCAGGGCACGCAGGGCTGCTGGGAGAAGTCTTTAACCTTTTCCTCTGAATGCTTTGTGGTTCAGCATTTTCCTCTGGCGTTTCTCAGATGATGCCATGTCTGCTATCCGTGAGAGCCATGCACAGCACATAGAGGGGAGGCAGCATCCTTCTACCTTCACCACTTCCAGGGAATGGCAGCAGCCAGGGGAAGCTCATAAGGGAGGGAAAATACCTAAATACCCCATCTGGGAAGGGAGGGAGCTGCTGGTGTGTCACTGACAGCACATGCTGCTTCCCAGGTTCTCACAGCAATACTGTGACTACTACTGTGCATGATGCTCATGGTGAATAGCACCAAAAATACTGTTAAAGACAACTGGAATGCCACGGGATGCCTCACTTACCCAGGAAGGATGAGCAAGCAGGAGCTTGTCTAGGTAACCTCAGCTTGATGTCACTGTCTAGATTTGGCTTGGGATCTTTAAGGATACTTCCAACCCAAACCATTCCACGATTCCATGATCCTGCAGTGTTGAGCTCCTCAGAAATGGGAAGGGAAGAAAAGGAAAGCAGGCATTTTGTTAATCAGGCCTCAATATTGATCCCACAGGTCAGCAAAAGCCAACACCAACAACCACAGTGCAGCAAAAAAGAAAGGGTTGTTACTGAACACAGTCTCTGCCCCACTGTGGGAAATAACCACTGTGGTCAGCAATCACCTTTACTGCCCTGCTCCACACTCATCTTCTGCCATGGGAACCACTGCTCATTGGCAAAAACCAGCATCAGCTGCCAGTGCCCCAAGCACTGCAGATTATGGAAAAGTTTTAGAGAGGAAAATCTTGCCAGGCAGGTGCAATAGTCAGTTCTGACCCCAAAAACACTGGAGGGATCACAGCTGGTTTTTGAGCACCAGGCAGACCTCAAGCTGTCAGGTGAGTTTTTCACAGGTGACATGGGACCAGCCCTGACAGATAAAATACAACGGCAGAGAGGGAGAAGTGCTAGATAAAACACAGCTAGAGAGGAGGATCTGAAACAAATCACTCTGAAGAGCTGTTCAAAAATAAGATTGCAGCCCAGTGTGATGGAAGAAGGGGCAGCTGGTGTTGAGCACTGTGGGAAGTGCTCCCTGCACACTGGGATAAAAGGGAGAAGGTCAGCCCTGAGGTGGTTGGGCTGATGGTTCCTCTCTGCAATGTCCATCACCTCACTAGGGCTGGTGGACTGATTTCAAGACTGACTTTTGTGGCTGAGCAACAAAAAGCCCTTTTCCTTCCTCTTCTCAGACAAGATCTAGGCACAGCTGAATCCAATGTAAACTTGACCAGAAACTGGACATGCAGAAGCTTCCTATGCATTCAGGTGTGAAGGCTGCCTGGATGTCTCCAGAAGCCCTGCCAGCCTCCTGCCTGCCTGCTCTGGCTGTCTGTGCCCGAGAACAACTCATCAAAGTCAACAGGCATCAATGCAGAGGCTTTTCAGCCAGGTTTGGACAATACCAGGCACATTTCCTTCTCTGAATACCAAGTATGTGCTGCAGGGTTGAAGAGCTGAAGCTCTGAGAGCAGAAACAGAATACTCTGTTTCATATAGTCCGAGGCCCAATCCTGCTTATTGCTTCTCTAATCCCAGGGCAAGGTAACCTGGCAATGAAATAGCAAATCCAGCCCTTGCTCAGTCAGTTTGTGTTTTGTCTTGGTACCCAGCAAAATGCTTGTTCTTTCCCTTTCCTTTTTCAAAATTTAAGTTTGCAATGCTGGACTATGTGGTAAACACATCCATAGGAACGATATGAAGAAAATGGAAAAATTCAGATCATTTGCCAGACTCTTCATGCTTGGAGCAGCATCTAGGGTTTAGGTTTGAAAATAACCATTACATTTCATTTAATAACTGCTATCAAAACCCTATCTGAACCCTAATGTAATTATTTTTTCTCCTTCCCATTTTCCACATCCATCTGAGGGAGGAATGACAAAATATTGTCATTATGTGTCCTTCATGTCTCTGTACAGCCCTTTGTAATTTAGCTGGTATTTGACTCAGCCATTTGAAAGAGCAGATTGTACCACCACACATCCAGGCAGCTCCTTTCTCAGTGAAGGGAAGGAAATTGCTGGCACCACACAAAAGTTCCTGTATTTTTGCTTTCCATGTATGTTTTCACCTTTGTGCTCTGTGGCTTTTCAAAATGACCAGACTCACAAAAATGTATTTTCTATCGATTTTCTCCTTCTTCTTCTCTCTGTTTTTTTCCAAATGGAAGTTGTGTTTGTATTTCCTTCGGACACTCCCTGGGACTGATTGCAAGGGAAGGCAAGAATTTGTGCCTCATCTGTGCCCCAAATGTCAAGCTCTACACATGATCCATAGAGTCACAGTTGTGTGACACAGGCCACAGGCAGGTGACCCAGTCCTTTTCCATAGGGAAAGGTAATGCTGTTCCTTCTTTGCAGTTACTGTGAAGAAAGATGTGGGGGAAAGCCTCTTTTGTTTCAAGCCTAACAGTTAGCTCAGAGCTACCTTAGGACAACATGGGCTTTGCCCAGGGTGATCTTCATCTCATTTTTTGTTTCATAGTCACAACAGAGATGGAAAAATATTCTGTGGACCTATGGGAAGGATTGTTTTGTTCCCACACCAGGCCAGGCAGAAGCAGGTCAGAGCAAAGGTTTGCACAGCCCCATTACCTGAAAAGGGGCTCTTGGGAGAAGAACAAAACTAGGGCAAAACCACGAGGGTTCTTCCTCACAGACCCTACAATCTCCAGCAGGATGGTGTTGAGGAGCTTGGCACCAGAGATGTTTCCTGGGCCTCCAAAGGGCTTTTTGCTTGGACCCTGCTTTGTTTCTCACCATGTGAAGGCCCAGCTGGTGGTTGCTGTGGCCCCACAACCCCAAGTGATGCACAGAGCAGATCTCCTGTTGGAGGGACATAGGGAGATGTGTCTGTGCCACATGCCACAGGTGACTGCTGCCACTGCCCCCACTTCCCGTCTCCTGCCACCCTCCACCTGTACAGAATTCCTTCCTGGCCCCAAAGCAGTGCCAGAATGGAGTGATAACTTTCTGCTTCTTTGTCATTCAAGTCCCAAATGCTCAAGCAGACAATGAAATAGTGACTGTGGGACAGTGGGCAAGGGCATGGACAGGGAGCCACAGAAATGGCTTTCAACAGCTGGTAGGGAAATAAAAATAGCTCTGCTGGTGCATGGCTATAAAAAGGTTTATATGCTGCACTTTGAAGGAGAAAATTGTCTCCATTACAGTCAAGTGGCTGGGTGCCTTCAGCTGTGTCTGGACACTTCTGATTCTCAAGGAAATTGTTTTGAGGCCTTTTATCGAGCTCCTTTAGCAGAGCCATGCAGCCCATGTGCTCAGGCACCTGC